GAATCTCTCTGAGCCTGAGTTCTCACCTGGCTCAAGCTCAAAATTTATGGGAATTAAATAACCATGTAAAGTGCTTGGCAAAAGGTAGGTCCTCAATAACTAAAAGTGGACAGATGCAGGGATCTACTCATTTTAGTAATGTTCTCTGATAAAAGTATAAATCAAGAATGGAAAAACAAATGCCACATGTACTCACTATTGGGAATGATGAGCACACGTGCACAAAGGGAAGTAAACCTCAGTGGAAATCAACTGGCGGGAGGGGCAAAAACCTACCTAGTAGGTACTATGAACACTATTTGGATGATAGGAACATCTTTAGCCAGGACTCAAACATTACAAAAGTGATCCATATGATCTAAAACATTTGTACCCTCTTAATATTTTGAAGTTTTAAAAAAAGTATACATCAAAAGCAGAGGACACTATATTATCCAAATTTTCTTCTGAAAAAAATCTGTAATACAATTAATCATTGATTAAACTAATGAATATTTTTATTGTTTCATTTTACTTTGAGAGGAAATGTAGGAAAACTGTTTTATAGGAAGATGTCAAGGAGCTTTTAAAAAACATTTGAGGGGAGGGGAGGAAGGGATGGGTATATTCACACCTAATGGGTGCAGTGCACACGGTCTGGGGGATGGACACGCTTGTAGCTCTAACTTGGGTGGGGCAAGGGCAATATATGTAACCTAAACATATGTATCCCTGTAATATGCTGAAATAAAAAAATAAAAATATAAATAAATGAAAAAAACATCTGGGGCCAGGCATGGTAGCTCATGTCTATAACCCTAGCACTCTGGGAGGCTGTGGCAGGAGGATCACTTGAAGCCAGGAGTTCTGGACCAGCCTAAGCAAGAGAAAAATTAGTCAGGCATGCTGGCATGTGCCTGTAGTCCCAGTTACTCTGGAGGCTAAGGCAGGGGGATCACTTAAGCCCAGGAGTTCAAGGCTGCAGTTAGCTATGATGAAGCCACTGCATTTCACTCCAGCCTGGGCAACAGAGCAAGACTCTGTCTGAAATTAAAATAAATAAAACAGATAAATAAGTAAATAAATCTGGAAGTATACAGATGTTAGGGAACAAGAAAGAATTTTCAATTTTAACCTATTATATCTTTTTCCATTTAGTACATGCCACTTTTTATTTTTTTGTTGTTTGTTTTTTGTTTTTGTTTTTTTGAGACAGTCTTGCTTTGTTGCCCAGGCTAGAGTGAGTGCCGTGGCATCAGCCTAGCTCACAGCAACCTCAAACTCCTGGGCTCAAGCAATCCTTCTGCTTCCCAAGTAGCTGGGACTACAGACATGAGCCACTATGCCCAGCTAATTTTTTCTATATATATTAGTTGGCCAATTAATTTCTTTCTATGTTTAGTAGAGACAGGGTCTCACTCTTGCTCAGGCTGCTTTTGAACTCCTGACCTCGAGCAATCCGCCCATCTCGGCCTCCCAGAGTGCTAGGATTATAGGCGTGAGCCACCGCGCCCGGCCCATGTCACTTTTTAATAGAAAAATGCCCACAAATAGACGGGAAGTAACTTTTCATGTGTTTTTTTCATTACAGATGACCTTTTCCCAGCCAGCTTTGCTCTCCCCTTCTGTTCCTGACCATCTGCAGTATTCCCTCTTCCAGGAATCCTGTCAAAGCTAAGAATCATAGACCTCTTCCTTCTGTGCTGACACCAATCTCTCAAGGTTCACAGCTATATTTGTTAGATTCTTTTTGACCCTTTTTTCCCCTCTTTTCTCAGAAATCACATTCTCTGCATCTCCTAAAGTTGCAGTTGACCAGGAATCTAACCCTATTTCTCTTTTTACTCCACACACTCCTGATGAGAAAATGCATTTGGCCCAAAGCTCCCAGTACCACAAGGGGTAGGCCACAACTGAGGATCCAGCCCAGAGTAGGTCCTAAGAACTAGGCCTGCATTTCCACCTCCAATCTGGACTTCTCTGCCTGGACAGCCAGCAACAACCTCAAAGTCAATATGTGTAAAACTGAACCACCCTCTCCCCTTAAACACACACTTCACCTTCCATTTCAACATCCTATCTTAGAGGATTGCCACCATCACTACACTCTACCTTCCAGCAAATCAGCACATCAAGAGGACCCCATCTCCCAGACCTCACTCAAATCCACCCTCTTCTTCAGAACTCTCTGCTACTGCCCCAGTACAAAGGCCTTATCATCTCGTGCCTGCCTCCAACCATGACTCTTCCAACCCATCCTCCCTCCACACAGGAGACAGTGATCTTTCAAATATACATGGCCACTGTCCCCGTTTGCAGTTGCTTTCACAGCCTACAAGTTGTTCAGACCCTGAGGCTCACCATGGTCTGCCTCCTAAACCGCTTTTCCAGTTTCAACCCTCATCACCACTAAGTTCCAGTCTTACTAAGGGAGCTTAAATTCCTGAAGAGAACAAGGCATGTTCTTTCATGTCCCCTGCCCCACATCATGTGTTATTCTCTCCACTTGGAATATACTCTGCCTTCACACCATGCCTTGTCAGGTGAAGCCTTATTGATCTTTTTGGATTCACTTTGAGCTTTGTGTCTTCTATGAAAACAGTCCTCTTTCTCCCTGGAGCAGGGTTAAGCAATCCCATCTGTATTAGTTCCCCAGGGCTGTAGCTATAAAGTACCACATACTGGGCAGCTCAGAACAACAGAAATTTATTCTCTCACAGTTCTGGAGGCTAAACTTCTGAAATAAAGATGTCAGCAGGGCTGTACTCCCTCTGAAGGCTGTAGGGAACAATCCCTCCTTGCCTCTTCCTAACACCTAGGTGACTGCCAGCAATCTTTGGTGCTCCTTGGCTTACACCTGCATCGCTCCAATTTCTGCCTACGTCTTCCTTCACATGGTGCTCACCCTGTATGTCTCCATGTCCAAATTTCCCTCTTCTTGTAAGGACACCAGTCATCGGAATAGGGCCCACCTTAAGCCAGTATCATTTTAAATTGATTATTAATACGTCTGCAAAGAACCTGTTTCCAAATAAGGTCATATTCACAGGTTCTAGTGAATTAGAACTTGAACATACCTTTTTGGGAGACAAATATCCAACCCACCATCTCTGTGCTCCGACTGCATCTAAGCACCTAGACACTTACACAGTAATATAACTATTTCCAGCTCTGTCACCCAACAATAACTTAATTTTCTTTTTATCCCAAGTCTCCAACATGCAATTGTTCCTCAATAAAATTTGAATTATTTGCAAAATGCTCCCTTCCCTTAGGCCTTTTCCATTTCATAAACTAGCTTCCTTTTTACTACATAACAATTTCTAACACATTCATACGTAAACATTATTATCTGGCAGTTTCTGGTCGTGTAGTACTGAGGTACTACCTTTCATCTGTTTTCTGCATTGGCTTCAAATGGATGTATTACATAGGTGGATACCGTCCAAGTAAACCATGTTTATTAAACTGATATTGAATATCAAAGTCAGTCAGAAATAATGATACAATGTATCTGCTGCTGACAGCTCATACTGACAAAAACGTAATGAACACACATGCATAGACATGCCTATATTCTGTATTCATGTTTATAGCACATGTTGATACACTGGAAGGATCCTTGGGTACAAATTTCAAGGATAGGAACTCCAACGTAAAAACAAGTTACGATACTATTTGAAAGATTAGAAATGGAATGGTTTCCTACAAAAATAACAGGAAACCTTCAACAATCTCTTCCCTTCCTCATCCCTCTGAAGACATAAAGGAAGAGGTGTTCTTTGTACCTTTTAATCAACTGCCCCATACAAAAACACGTACTGCACAAACACTACTTTCTTGTCTGTCCACAGATGAACAAAGAAAACACTAAAGAAAGTAGCGTTAAAATTGCACCTAATCTAGTCTTCAAGACTAGATTGCGAGAAACACAGCATTTCTGGGCGCTTTCCATTGACATCCATCCGCAGTCAACTCTGCCCAGCTGGAAAAATCTTTAAGAACAAAAGGATTAAGTTTCCCCAGGCGGAGAACCCTGGAGACAAAGGGTCCTTTGTAAGAAATGGGAAACTGAGGAGGGGCGGGAAACGGGAGGTAAGGCATTGGGGCGGACACGTTAAGGAGTGGAAACCTAGTTCAACACCTCGGGGTGGAGGGCGCTCCGCGAACTGAGGCGGCGCTGGGAGGAGATGCTCCGGAGCCGGCCAGGTCTCCCAGGCAGGCACTGCCCCGGGCGAGGGGGGCGTTCCGCCTGGAGGGTCTGGGGGCGCCACTCGAGAGGGGAGGGCCCGTGGCCTGGCAAAACCCGGCTGCGGTTCCCCCGAAACGCCCCCCACCCGCACCCCAAGGGACGAAGACAGCGGGCGAGCGCCTGCCCACCCGCAGGCGGGAGGGGTGGCGGGGCTGCGGAGGCCGATGCTCGCCGGCGCGCTGAAGGCGCAGCTGCAGGCGTAACCCGGGACGGAGGTGGTGACCGCACTGCTCAACAAGCGGGCCGGGGGCCACGGATGTACCTTTAACGCCCGCCATGTCTCCCGAGCTGGGGCCGCGGCTGCTTCCGGCTTCCTGCCACAGCCCGCGTCCCCGCCCGGGGCCGCCCCCAGAGTCCCGAGCCCGCCTCCGTCGCGCCCGAGCCCACCCTGGTCACGTAGAGCCCCGCCCTACAGGTCCATAACTCCGCCTCCAACTCGCAGAGCCCCGCCTTTTCCAGTCCTGACTCCACCCCTGCCACGCAGAGCCCCGCCCTTGCCGGCCCAGAACTCCGCCCCCAGCCCGCAGAGCCCCGCCCTGCCGGTATTGAGCCCGCCCATTCTGGTCCTGACCCCGCCCCCACCACCTAGATCCCGCCTTTCATTCCATAACTCCGCCCCCAGTACTCAGAGCCCCGCCTCTACGGGTTCTGACTCCACCCCTGTCATGCAGAGCCCCGCCCCTACCACACCTCATCCCCACCACTCAAAGCCCCACCCATGCTGGTCCCGATACCGCCTCCGCCACTCAGGGCTCCGCCCTCGCCACGTAGAGCCCCGCCCCTGTCGGGCTAGACTTCTCCCCCAGTTTGCAGAACCCTGTCCTTATTGGTCCTGATCCCCGCCACTCAGAGCCCCCTTCCCATACTGGTTCCGATCAGGGCCCAGCCGCTTAGAGGTGTGCTTCCGCAGGTTCTGAGCTACTCTACTTGCTCATAGAGCACAGTCCTCAGCCTTGAAGTCCAGCCCTGCACACCCGAGTTCGCCCACGGTAACCCCGACCCGGCGCCCCGGGCTCTCCTCCTCTGTCCTGCGCCCTCCGGGTAATCCCCAACCCTCCCCACGCTCCGCCCTTCCATCTGTGTGCTGGGGCCTCGGCTCCGCCCGGACCTCGGGCCCTGTTGCTCCCCCAGGCCACTTGGGACGCGGTCCGCACAGCCCTGGGGTCTGCCAGGCGGAGGCCCGGCACTCTTAGCTGCCAGGAGCCCTGCAGAGAGTGGAGATGGAGAAATGGGCAAAGGGAGGAGAGTGTCTGCCTGGGGAGGTTACAGTCCGTGGCTGAGAGACACCCACTCACTAACCAGCATTACCTTCTCTGAGCCCCTGTGAGCCTGTGTGCCGGTCAGCGTTCATGTGGCAAAGGTGGAGGGTGGGGCACCAAAGAAAAGCCCTCTGAGAGGCACCCCTACTTAAGAACTTGACGTTTGCATGGGCTTGCCGCTTTATAGCAGCAACATTAGCACTTTACTGAAACTAGCAGTTTCTTCCTTTACTGTCTGCTTTATTTGTAGAGATAAAGACCATATAAGCTTTTTTGTGTCCAAGGCTTTCACGAACTTTTAGTTATTATTTTCGTACCTTAGGACTTCAAAGTCTGCAGGTAACCAAAGTCATTGTTTAGATCTCCAAGAGCCATTTTGTACTTACCGTCCTCACAGTAATGGATAGTTTTGTCTTGATGAGAACAATCTGGAAGACACCTTTGGAAACCAACTGGCCCAAGTGCTTCATCTTACCTTTAGGGAATGAGGTGCAAAAAGGGTAGGCCTTGACTGTCACGCAGCTCTTGGGAGGCCACTTCCCCTCATTATAGCTGAGAAGTGCTCCACAGAATGCTGTGGTCCCTTTACTCCTCCTTTTTCTCAGTTTTCAACAGGACTGAAAGAGAAAGGGGTCTGTGAGAACCAGGTTCCCCTGGCTACCTGAGAAGTACAAATTCTCACCACCACCACCACCTTTCAGCCTCCTCACTCAGTTTTCTTTTTCAAATGCACACTGAGCATTTGAACATGTTATTGTCTCAATAAATGTCTAATTATCTGTCAGTTTATTTTCCTAGCTCCTCTCATTTCTCTTCACAGATGAATGGCACACTCACTAAAAACATTGTGTTGTTAATACCTGACTCACTACAGATGTTTGGAGATCCAGTACTACACTCACTCTGCTTTATAGCCATCAGTCTATTCAAGATCCTTGAGAGTGTATGCCACTTTGGCTTAAGGATTATTTTGAGTGGAAGGCAATTGAGAAGCAGATACATACAAGAAAAGCTCCCTGTTCTCCTATTCGCCAAAAAGCAGGGCATAAATTTACAGAGGTAGCTCCTGCCTGCTCTACCAGGAAGGACAAAGGTGAACTAGAGACAACTGGAGACCCTATAAGGGTCTGGAGACAGCCTGGAGATAGGACTAGAGAAATCTGCTTAACAAATTTTAATATTTAGGCTTTATCTTTAGTTTCCCATATATTTATCTTCTACAACTTCCTGCCCCTTAGTGGAGTGCTAAGCCATCTCATGAGGAAGTAAGACTTTTTTCACCTTAATTGATGAGGCTATTCTTTTTTTTTTTTTTCTTTTGAGACAGAGTTTTGCTCTGTTGCCCAGGCTAGTGTGTCATGGCATCAGCCTAGCTCACAGCAACCTCAAAGTCCTAGGCTCAAGCAATCCTTCTGCCTTAGCCTCCTGAGTAGCTGGGACTACAGGCATGTGCCACCATGCCTGGCTAATTTGTTTTCTATATATTTTTAGTTGGCCAATTAATTTCTGTTTTTAGTAGAGATGGGGTCTCGCTCTTGCTCAGGCTGGTTTCAAACTCCTGACCTTGAGCGATCCTCCCACCTTGGCCTCCTGGAGTGCTAGGATTATAGGCATGAGCCACCACGCCTGGCTGATGAGGCTATTCTATAAAGTTAAATTTCCCCCATTTTCCCTCCAATTCCCAACCACCCAGTGTGTTTCCAGATTGTCTAAATAGGGTTTGCTGGAACCTTCCATGTCAGCCTGACACCAGTCCCACAGAAATGATTTTGGAAGAAACTGAAAAGACTTCAGAGGCAGAGCTTGATTAGAGTGCCCTAGGGTTAGCAGTAAGATACCGGAAGATGGTGGGAAGCAAAAATTGAAGTGTTTGCCCCAAGGTAATGTCTAGAATCAGAAAAATGCTTATCTCCAACAAGCTTTCTGCTCATACTAGCCATCCTTTCCAGGTTGCCAAACACTTTAGAGAGAAAGTTAGCCAACTTGACCTAGACCTTAACCCTCTGAGAAAATCTGCTTTTTTATTGCCAGATGTTGCACTGAAAATATTTTTCTTCCACTTACTCCACATTTTCTCAAGAATAAAAGAGTCATCAGAAATGGAAAGTAAAACCCTGGAAACCTAGCCCTTCTCCCATTTGCCATTAGTGTATTGCTTGGATGTATCAGATCTGTGACCTCTGTCTCGCTACCTAGGACTAAATGGACTTCTTAGGATGAATTCAAATATTCTCCTAGCATTCAGTAATCTCACACTTGAGCTAGGTTTTATTGTCTCCATTTTACAGATGGGAAAACTAGGTCTTAGTAACTAGTGAATGGGGAAGCTGAGATCAAGCCTCAAATTGTTCAACTCTGACGTTCTCAGATGGTCAACACTTGTGCCATTCTCCACAGTAGATCTTGTGCATGAGAAGGCAAGAATTCTCATAGTAATTAGAAGTAACAGTAACCCCTTATGTTCAACAGGGCATCAAATCCACTTGTTGATAAGTAACCCCTTATGTTCAACAGGGCATCAAATCCACTTGTTGATATGATTCCCCCCTACATATCTATTAGTATCTCAAATACACTATTGGCTGAATTAACAAATATTTATTAGTTTACCATAATAGTATCACATCTTCCTATCCTATCTAAAGAAAAGATCTAGCCTCAAATCCTGCCTTTGGGTAGACTTATCCATGCTTTCGTTTCCTGAGGTAGGATTTATAAAACCTGCCTTTCAGAATTCTTTTTCTAATTAAATGAGAAGAAAAATATGTACATATCTATTTAATAGCACATATTTATATAATCTATATAATAGCACCTCGGGCAGTATATACAAGGTAGATGCCAGAGTTTCACATCTACACTGAGACAGGTTCTCAAGTCAGTGCATAAGTTAAATGTAAGTATGATAGAACACTAATTGAAATCAGTACAGGTGGGGTTTCCTTCCTAACTCTCAACTGCCACAGCTATTACCTTTACAGAACCTACACTGCAAGTCTCTTTGCCATTTTGTACAGACCGATAGATCTCTGTTGGCCCAAGGAGTTAGGGGTAAGAGTTAAGGCACAAGTTATTTTGGGTTGCCTTTTCTTACCTATGTTATCCACTCTCCACAACATGAGGTTTCAATGTAATTCCAGCCTCAGTACTGACCTGCAGTGAAACACTTTTGTCTTATTTACTATCTATAACAATAACACTAGTTATTTAGTGAGTACCCACTTGGTAAGAGTTTCTATAGACAGTCCCTAATCTCTCAATTGCAAGTTGTTACAATTCTATTTTAGAGGTGATAAAAGTAAGTTTGCCAGGCGGGGTGGCTAGGAAGCTGAGGTGGGAGGACTGCTTGAGGGTAGGAGTTCGAGACCAGCCTGGGCAACATAGTGAGACCCTGTCTCAAAAGAAATTATAAGTAAAAATTTAAAAATTAGCTGGGTGTGGGGGTATGTGTCTGTAGTGCCAGCTACTCAGGAGGCTGAGATAGGATAATCACTTGTGCCGGGAGTTTGAGGCTGCAGTGAGCTATAGTGACCTATGATCATGCTACTGTACTCCAGTCTGGGAGACACAGCAAGACTTCATAGCTTACAAAAAAAAAAAAGACTCAGAATTAAGAACCTTATCCACTATAATAGTCTTTAAATGAAAAAACCAGGATTCAAACCCACTCTTTTGGTCTCAAAGCAACATGTATCACTATGCCCAAACACCATGGTCTGCCTAGAATAATGAAAACCTGTTTACTTGACTTAAAATTCTCTCATAGGTGTATCTAGCAGGAAAGTTGACTTGTTGCTGAGATAACTGTTTCTGTAAATTCAACTTTTTTTGTTGTTTTTAGGGTTTGTTGTTTTTTAGTGGAAGTGGTGCATCATTCCTAAAAGTTCTACAATACCAGGTGGAGTATAGAGTAAGCTCCTATTCCATTTCCCTACTCCAAAAATCCATTTAATATATTGTCTTTGGATAGAGGATATATCAGATATCAAACTGATAAGAAGCTACTGGAATTCAACTTCTGAGTTCATTCCTTCCTTACACAATGATTTCATTAGCAGCATTAGGCTACACATTGAGCATTCTTCCAGATGTAGACAGTACGGTGATGGTTCAGGTGCTTTTAATTTATAGCATGCATTTGTTTCCAAGTAGGCATGCTGCTTCTGTCCTCAGAGAACTGAAATATATGGGACTTTGTTTCTATAATAAAATCCCAGATTATCAGGATCAATCCCTTTGCTTCAACATACAAATTCACTTTTGAAAATCCATTAATATTCTAGCTAGGAGACTAGGATTTCTATGGTGATTCTTTTTGAAACATAATATTCATGTAGCATAATCAAAAGTGCATGTGTGTGGGAATGTCTGTGTATGAGGGAGTGCATGTGTACGTATCAGGGCAGGAGTGATTAAAGTATAAATCCAGAAATCCTGTCAGATTACATTTTGGTGCAGATGTATCACATGCTTTTCATATTTTTCCCTCATAACTTTCCTTAAAAGCGAATCACATCAGAAGGTATAATTCAAGCTCATCATCATCCCATTCCTACAAGGACAAAAATCACATAGGTTTCTACAAATATTTTTGAGCCTTTTAATATACATTACAAATATTTTAGACCAATCACATTTTGTTGTGTGTAACATATTTACAAAACAAAAACTATATTACAATAAATATGAATGAAACAGTGAATCTGATCAACAACAAGCTCTGTCACAACCAGATATTTAAAAGGAATGCAAAAACCTGTTGGTCTGCATATGTTAAGAGTTTTGAGATAAATATGGGTCCAGAATTATAATGTATCCGGCAAAGAGATATGGGGAAATCCCCAAATTTAAGTAAGATTCCTTCTCATTACTAATTACATAATGTTTAATGATGTTTTAAACTGTGAACATTGATGAATTATCCAAACATGATACAAAGCTAATGTAGTGCTATCGTTTCAAAATGTACATGACACCCACAGAATATCCTTTTAATTATTATCATTATATACTGTAGTTCACACAATATCTACAAATGTGAATGAGAAAAAAAACAAAACACAGGTCACAGCAACATGTCTCACATTCCAACTTTAAATAAGACAAGCACATACTGGATCAAACATTATTTTATAATACGTTAATAAATAACACCTAGTTTGTTATGGTTACCTTGAACAGTTTATGACTGTATATTTTAAAAGAACTTTTTTTGCAAGTTTTACATTGCCAGTAAAATAAATAATGAAATTTTGTAACAAAAACAAAACAAAACAAAACAAAAGAGAGAGAGCAAGAGAGATCTATATGGAACCTAAAGTATTTTTGACATGCTGCTTTTCTGGTACAGTTTGCCACAAGAAATTAAAACAGAAACAAAAAATGATTGTCTTTTAAAAATAACTTTTAAAAGCTTTTCACAATATTGAGCGTGAACCTTTTAAGATTAGCATGAAAATCTTTTTGCCCATCTGCTTTGCATATATATATAATGCACGTTGTGTATGTGTACTACCAAAATCTACTAAAGTCACAGGATAGCAAACTGCTTACCCCTCAAAATGAGAACCAGCCACAACACTGATCTGAAATCTAACCAGTCTGAGGTCTGGAAAGGTTTCATTCTTGCTTTGCTTTCACAAATGTCCCAGGGTGAATGTTGCTCCTGTGAATCCCCAACTATTTTTAAAACATAAAACCCCACTGTAATAATCCAAGGAGTTCAGATTTACATGTGGGGAGGTGGGACTTGGTTCCTCAAAGCAAATACTGACAAGCCATCTAGCTGGATCTGAGGGTGGGCACAGCTCTCTCACTGCAATCGCGCCTTTCTCATGACTCGAATTCAGTGTTGTCATCTTCTATTCTCTTACCACAACCACTCACAAACTAGAGAACACGGAGTCCATACCAGTTACAGGTCCTGATAAATTGTGAATGGACCAAACTGCTTTACAACCTGTTTCCAGCTAAGAATGTTTTCTTGGCTAAACAAAAGAAAGAGCATTAAGCCTTATGGTAAAATTAGAAGTTTCTTTCAAATCAGGTTTAGCATTGTTATGGTATTAAGACTTTTTCTTTAATCAACCACAGTTTTCTAAAGGGAAAGGAAAATAGCCCAACATCCTGAGCAGGAATCAAGTTTTCTACATCTTCAGAGTCACTATTTTCTTTAGCCAGCATTTTCACTAATTTTTAGCCTATCTAGAAAGAGTTGGTGGTAATCACTGTACTGTAGTATTAATATAATCACTTCCCACAATTCAAATTCTTTTATATATGTTAGTTTTCTTGACCAAACGATGTATACAGTATTGTGCTAAAGACCTTAGTAAATTTCTACTAAAAAACAAACAAACAAAAAAAACTCTTGGTGGTTATGTTCCTGGAGTCTGCATAAAGCCATTGCTCAAATCATATATTTCCAAGATAATCTAAAGACCATTATTTTAAACCATTATATAATCCTGTTATCATAACTTTTGCTCATTAATCCTATTCTCAGACAGTGAGATGGGTGATATGCCTTCATGGGTGGTGGCCACTATTTTCCATTTCCCCCAGGCAGAATGCTCAGTAGTAGGTTTCCCGAAGAGCAGGATGGAATGTTGTAACTCTACAAGGTCATCTGGCTAAAAAAGTTCCTCTCATGCTTTGGATCTTTTATGGCAGGGACTTCGAGAAACCAAACATCGACATTCCTTATCAATGAGAAATTAATTCACAAGAAATTTAACAGTTGAGTACTGGAAACATGTTACTGGAGTTTTTGGTTCATCTGCGAAAACCTCAGAATTGTGACGCGCTAAGCATTAGCACGGGTCTGCATCAGAGATGGAAAAGCTCATAAATTAATACAAGGGCTTCTGCCCTTGGTTTTCAAATTCAGACCAGGCATCATTTAGCTCCATGAAAATCATCTTTGCATATTGTTCATAGGGTTGCCCGGTAGCCTAGAGAAAAACAAAAACACATATCAGATACCACAGACTGGAATTTTATTTATATTAAATTTTCCACTGCTAATATGTGGGTTCCAAGTAATTGAAATGCTTTTTCTATTTGGCAATTTCTCTTTTTACATCCTAATCTATATGACCCTATGACCTCCCTAAAATACCCTCACCCTGGATATTCACATAGGCAGTGGTAATGAGCCAGTGGGTAGATATCAGTGAGCTTAGTGGGCAGCAAAAGGTGCATCTCCCTTGTCCAGAGGATCTACCAAATGACAGACGTTCATGACAGACTGTCTCCTTGGCTATCTGTATTTCTAAACTCCCATTTTCCCGTTTCTAAAAAAAGGTAAGTTCTTTGAGACCCATAACAGTTTGTGGATTTTTCTGGGCTCTTGTTTCTTTTTCTCTTTTGATTCATCCAAATCCAAGGACTAGCATTGATTCTCAATACTTCTTCTATTCAGAGTAGTCACAAGAAAGTATGGGGGGATGAGATCAAATATATCAAATCCAAGCATGTGCTCCCAAGTGGCACTTCACTCATAGCTTCATGTCATATGACTGGGATAGTCTACATGACAGCAAGATGACTCACTTCAGTCTGAGATGTTTCTGTGTATCGAAACCATCCATATGAAAATAATGTAGAGCCACAAGGTATAAACAGTAATCAAAGTCTGATCTTTATAAAAGTGTAGATATAACCAGAAGTTAACCAGTCATTGTCCCCTAATCCCTTGCTGTTGTAACTAGTCACTGCTTAATGGCACTACACACCCCGATAGGCGTAAGATTTGAGACTCCCCCCTCCCCACTACTATAGATAATAGTGCTGTTGTAAATCCCAAGACTGGTGATTCTATAGATAACATTGCTGTTGTAAATCTTAAGGCTGGTCTTTGAGGTGTTTTTCCAACTCTTCATTCTGGAGACCTCCTGACTCCAAGCAGACCAAGGATAGGCATGGGAATGGATCCAACAGTCCTGAAACCCCCTACCCAGGAAACCCCCCCAACTGGGAAGATAATTTCTGCATCCCAACCCTATTGTCACAGAGTAGTCGCCCATCATCCCATGGAGGAGAAAAGGCACGAAAGGGTAAAATCAGCAGTGGGGAATATGTAACAGAGGGAATGGCCTGAAAAAAAGGGCAAACTGTTTTCTGTTTGTGCAAAACCTTTTCAACCTTTTCACCCTTTTCGAGAACTAAAACCTGTATCCCTGCCTCAGCCCAGTGGTAGGGAAGGGGAGGGGAGTATCCTTTGTTCTTTGTGCCACAGGAGATGGCTCAGAGGAACCATCTGTCTGGATGGATGGATGGATGGAAGCCCCAGCATGGGGGTGGGTGGAGGTCACCAGACGGTCTTCGCTGGAGATGGGACAGATCAGAATATAGCCTGAACCTGAGAACCCACCCTTTAAAAACTCTGTATTTCTGCTTATGATGAGGAAAATTGGTACTTTAAGATGGGAGTCTGCCACTTTCCTCATTTGCCACAAACCACTTGTCCTTGTTCTTCTGATGTGGCCTGGAGGACAAGTGTCACGCTTTCAGTAACACTATGAGTTCATCCACTGCCAATCAACAGATCCAATTCCTTAGCCTTTTGCCCACCAAACTGTCTTTAAAAACCCTTTCTCTCAAATTCTCGGGGAGATGGATGTGAGAAATTCCTCCTATCTCCTTGTTTAGCACCTGCAATATTACACTCTTTCTCTGCTGTGACCCCTGCTGTCTCAGTGTACTGGTTCCTCTTGGGCAGTAGGCAATGAACCTCACTGGGCTGTAACAGTATTATGATGATGTCAACTGAGGCATGAGTTACTTGAAGTTTCTGCTGATGTAGAGCACTTATTATATGTATATAATGAAAGCATAAACTGGCATAACACACAAAGTGATGAGTTTAGTTCCATTTGGAATATTTTGTTGATTCTCACCAATTTTACCAACCACAATCTAAAGCTTTTTCACTACAATCCTGGTTATACGTACTGTTGTATCTCCAAAAGATAAAAAGATTTCCTCAGTCTAGCTCTTAGCCTATACTTAACTATTTCAAATCAGGACACAATTCACTTCTGAGCCCTAAAAATTTGTCACTTGGTGAATCCTAGACCTCTCTAAATAAAGACCCTGTGATATATAGTTTCAATTCCCTTTGCCCACTTCATAAAGTATAACTATTTGCTTAAATATCTGATTTTATCCCATGGACTTAATTTTATTAAGTGGCTTAACTGACCAGCAAATTGAAAGTAAGATACATGCTCATAAAATGATGAAGCGAGGGCCAGACAAGTGGTAGGACAGGGCAAGTTATACTCACTTTATCTGGGTGCACCACCAGGACAGCCTTCCTGTACACTTTCTTCACCTGCTCTGGTGTCACCAGGTCTGCCATGCCAACTGGCTTCCACTTGGTCTCTCCAGCCCACAGCACGGTGTGCATCGTGGAAAGAAGTGCTCTGATATTTCTCTCTTTGCCTTCAATCCATTCCAGAATCTGTAAATGCAGGGGAGATTAAGAAATTCAAATGCTTTCTAGTCTAGAAGGTTTCCACTAGGACTCTGGAAACCCTTCTTGCTCCGGCAACTACAAAATACTTGGGGCACCCTGCATACTCCAAGCTGTTTCCTCTACCTGGAATGCTCTTCCTCCTCTACCTCCTGCCTACTAGTCTTTCTGATTAACTCTCAGCCATCCTTCAAAAGACTGCTCAGGAATTTCACACTGTTAGCCTTTGAGAGTTTGAATTCCTTGCTCTCTGGCACCCTCAGAGTTCATTACTCACTCCTAGGGTGTAAACTCCATGAGGGAACATACTGCATCTGTTTTGTCCTCTGCACTAAATAAATATCCCTTTGAAAAAAACACAAACTCCTCTGGGCTACTCTGCCTTACACATGTTCCTGCCATAATATGTGCCACACTTTATTGTAATTGTCTGTGTTTTTGTCTTTCCCTCCCTTAGGCAGAGCTGTTTAGGAAAGGTAGCGTTTCTTATATATCCACTGTAACTCAGGAACAAATAATATACCTGGTGCAGAATAAAGCTCAAAAAGGCTTGTTAAATGAATTGATCCATTTCGTCATTTATTCAGACTGTGATCATTCATAGTTTGAATCATCACAGTTTGAACCAATGAGGTGATTAAGTTGAAGGGATCTTAGCACCAAACAGGAGTTTAGTATTTGTTGTTGGATGAATGGTTTAGTCATGCTTAATGATGGCTCCTCTCCCAAACAATTAAAGGCCCTGTACCAATTAATTACCCAAACATGGTTTAAAATAAATAAAAGTAAAAGTTAAAAGTAACTTTCTTTAAAAGAAAACTTTCAGAGTTTATCTAATGAACAAAGGTTATCAAGATAGAGCACAAAGTTTTTAGAAGGAACATTGAGCCTCTGGAATGTTTTATGAAGTGAAAAACATGCAAATGAAGGATCTTACATTGTACTAAAAATGTATCAAAGAATCTATCCATCTTAACAAATTTTCAAATCTGTCAGGAAATTATGGAAAAGAACAGTGATATACTTGTTCAAAATGTGTAAGACTGACTTGCTGTGCAGGTCCTGGTTTTGCAGATACTTTAATGCAGAGACAGGGTAGATCCTCCTCTTTCAGTTCATTATCCTGTCAGCATATTTAGCATTTTGTCATGTAGGAATTCAACCTCTCTCTCTGTGATGAGCACCGCAGTTCTCTTCATCTTCACTCACTCTTCCAACCTCACACCATTCATCGGCATAACCACCCCTCTGTTTCCAAGCTAATCCGAATCTACCTGGCTACACACCTCCTCATCTGTGAAGTAATATTTGTTTCCCCATCTATGAAATCAGGGGGTTAGATTTGCTGATTTGAAAAGTTAAAAAAAAAGCAAAAAACATACTTTTTACCCTAAAATTAAATCTTTCCTAGGCCTCCAGAATAAAAAACAGACTATCTGGTTAAGAGTGGAGAGGCAATATGGAAGCCAGGCTCCACACTTCCCTCAGCCTTCCTCTTCTCCACCTTCCCAGGCCTCCAGGTCTAAGGTTACAGGAGTTGGTAATTCCTGGGGACATAAATATTTCTCTCTCTATCTGCAGAGAAAAGATCCCAGTGGCTTCAGTCAATCTGATCTGATAAAAAAAAGCTCTCAAGCCAGCAAGAGAAAATTTCTAATGATTTATCTTTAGAATGTGAACACCATCTGAATAACAAAATCACCTTTTAAAGAGTGCCATTTCCTCATCTGAACAGCAAACAAAGGAAATCTATGTTGCTATACCATGGAATAAAACTTATTTTATTAAAGAAATCAAACAGCCTGTGCAACTCTCTCCAAAGCTACTTTGCTATTAAAGGACACAGCTGTATTCAAATCATAGCTGCACAATCAACTGACATACAGTGATCGCCAGAAATCTAAGACAGTGCCTTCTATAAGTGCTATGGTCTGAATGTGTGTGTCCCCACAGAATCCATATGTTGAAATTCTAACCCCCCACGCGGTGGTATTAGGAGGCTGGGGCCTTTGGGAGGTAATTAGATCACGAGGGCAGAGCCCTTATAAATGAGATTAGCGTCCTTATGAGAGAAGCCCGGGCAAGATACCTCTCCTCTCCTGCCGTGTGAGGACACAGGGAAAAGACCACAGTCTATGAACAAGGAAGAGGGTCCTCACCAGACACTGAATCTGCTGAGCCCTTGACCTTGGACTTCCCAGCCTCCAGAACTGTGAGAAATAAATTTCTCTTGTTCCTAAGCTACCCAGTTTATGGTATTTTGATACAGCAGCCTGAATGGACTAAGACAACAGGTTAGTCTCATGCTGATGGATCCACACATATGACTTTGCCACAAGACCTTGTCATACAGAATAATCACATTGAGTCAGGGGCTCACGCACCTTTAATTTCTCAGGGTCCATTTCCTTAGCCATTTCCTCCTTTCTCATCTCAGCTATTGTTCGAGGCCCTTTTTTGTCTTTGTGAGCATTGAAACCTTGACCCGAGAGTAGGTCTTCAAAGTCAGCTGCCTTCTGTTTCCCTTCTGCAATATAATTTTTGAAAATCGTTATAGTTTTTATTCTTAAACATAACCTAGTATTAATATCCTATAGCACTTAGAGTCTTCTAGGTGTTTTTACACGCATTAAACCCCTTAACTTTCACACTTACCCTGTGAGTAGGGTAAGAGACTCTTGTGCTCATTTTACAGATAAGGAAAACAAAGTCTGGAGAACTTAAGAGGTCTTTCCAGAATTATATGTTAAATAATATGAATATGGCAAGGCTAGGACTGGAGGCTAGATCATTAACCTAAATCCAACTCCATTTCCACTGCGCCTTCTTTTTAAATGAGGATACTTATGATCACCACCCTCCCCATCATAAATAATTAGTATCAATGATGGAACTAGAACCTGGGTTTTGGTAGTTGAAATCTATGCATGCTACTGCTTCCCTGCCCACACTCAGGCGATAGTTTTAGCTAATCATAGTGTTCTTTGCCTCCAAGTCTGGCTGTAGCCTCACAATCTTTGTCTATCTGTTTGCCTCTAGCACGGTGGCAAAGAGCAAAGACTCCCGATGCAGAATCCCCAGGTTTGAATTCCATCTCTGCCAATTATCAGCAATGTGACCTTGGGCAAGTTACTTACCATCCTATGCCTCAATTTCCTTGTCTATAAAATGGGGATGGTGTTGATAATATTGCTTACCTCATAGGATTATTTGGAGAATAAATGAGTTAACATTTTAAGTGCTTAGAAGGGTGCCTGGCTATCTCAATGTTTGTTAAATTAAAACAAAATAGAACCAAAACACAGTAGTCTAGGCAGTCAATTGACAATCAACCAAAATCAGTTTCTAAGTTGAAATCCATTTGCCATCTCTGTACTGTAAGACATTCTGGACACACTGGAATCTAAGTGCTCTGAGACTAGAGATTTTTGTCTTTCTTGTTTGCTGCTATATAGTGTTTTTTCTACACTTGCTCCATAAACATTTGCTGATTAAAGTCACTCCATATCTCAAAATAAAAATCGAAGGGAATCACATGACTCTATGGAATTATGCAGGGAATACCCCTGCTAGCCAAAGAACAGGCATGATGTTACATGTTCCTAACAAGAGAATTCCTACACGTAGGTGTTGTGAGAAGGCACCAGTGTCATAGCCAAAAGAGTGTGGCAGTTAAGAGCAGAGGTTCTGGTGCCAGATTGCCAGGGTTCAAATCCTGGCTCTGTCGTGTGTAAACCATATGAATTTAGGAAATTGCTTTATCAATCTGGTGTCATAGATTCCCCATCTACAACATGGGGTTGGGTTTTTGGGGTTTTTTTTTTTATTTATTTAAGACAGAGTCTCACTCTGTCACCTCAGGTAGAGTGCAGTGGCATCATTATAGCTCATTGCAACCTCAAAATTCTGGGTTCAAGCAATCCTCCGGCCTCAGCCTCCCCAGTTGCTGGGACTACAAGCGCATACCACAACACCGGGCTAATTTTTCTATTTTTAGTAGAGATGGAACCTCACTCTTGCTCAGGCTGGAATGGGGCTGGTTTTGAAGATTATATGAAATGATACAGGAGTCCTCCTTATCCACAGGGGATGCATTCCAAGACCCTTAGTGGACACCTGAAACCTCAGATAGTACTGGACCCTATATATACAGTATTATGGGATTTTTAAATCTTAGACAGCTGCTAAGTGACTAACAGGTGGGCAGCAGATACAACACAGATATGCTGAACAAAGGGTCGATTTGCATCCCAGGCAGGGCAGGGTGGCATGGTGGGAAATTTCATCAGGAGACTTTAGACTGACCATGGGTAACTGAAACTGCAGAATATAAAGCCACAGACAAGGGGGGATGACTGAGCATGAAAAATGCTTACAATACCACCTGGCATATAGTAAGCACTCAATAAACGTCAGCTACTGCTACTAGGAAGAGTAGAAGAATTGCCTTTTCCATGTTCCATAGGGAGAAAGGCCTATTTCCTCATTGTGTATAATGAATTCATCAACTGAATTAAGGGTGTGAATTAATCAAATGAAATGTAAAAGGTACCAAAATAGGCTTTTTTTTTTTGAGACAGAGTCTTATTCTGTTGCCCAGGCTAGAGTGCTGTGGTGTCAGCCTAGCTCACAGCAACCTCAAACTCCTGGGGTTAAACAATCCTACTGCCTCAGCCTCCCAAATAGCTGGGACTACAGGCATGCACCACCATGCCTGGCTAATTTTTTCTATATATCCTTTTAGTTGTCCAGGTAATTCCTTTCTATTTTTTTAGTAGAGATGGGGTCTCGCTCTTGCTCAGGCTGGTCTCGAACTCCTGAGCTCAATCGATCCACCTGCCTTGGCCTCCTGCTAGGATTACAGGTGTGGGCCACTGGGCCAGGCCCCAAAGAGGCTTTTAATAAACTCAAATCTAACCATCCCTGCTATGTAAAACACATTATTATTTATTCATTGTCAAGAATCCCATCCAGAGTATCCTCCAGCCTCAGGTGTTGGCACCATCACAGGTGCCCCACTGATGTCAGGAATCCACCAACCAGGGCATAAGGTAGACCAAACGTCCAAGACACATACACTCTGCTAATTGGGATCCAAGGGCAAATCCGAGCGCAGTGCTTGAAAGGTCCCCAGCATTTCTCTTCCGCCTCCTCTTCCAAAGGAATAACAACTTTAAATTCCTTCCACCTCTCTATTCATGCCCATTCGAAGTTCACGCAGTGCCCACTCTATGCCAAGCACTATACTAGGCACTAATGATAACATGGCAATAAGACACAGTCCCTGTCTTCCACCCGGTTTCAGTGTGGAGAGAGACAGACAAGCAAGTCAGCAGTCACAAAACAGTATAAATGTTAGGATCATGGTAAATCCAGGATGCTCCAGGTGTAGCATTGAGGGCAGAGGTCATGGTGTGTCTCTATAACTGTAAGATTGCCTCAGAAGCTACTGGAATTGTTTTCTGTTTTCTTCAGACATTCAAACCCTGGCAGTGAGACAATACTGACAAGACCACCCTAGAGCTAGGTCCCATTCCACCATCCTTACCCACATTAGCCGATCCTTTCCCACGTTCATTCTGGCCTCCAGGCATGGCGGAGAAGCTCACGTTGTAGTTGGGCCGGTTCTGGGGAGACGAGTGGGGCATGCTGGGCTGAGGCTTAGGCTGCGGCTGCTGCCAGCTATAGCCACCTCCTCCCTGTTGCCACCCTCCACCCATAGGCTGGGGGGATGCCTTCTGTGGTGAGCTGAGAGGCGGAAATCCTCCACCCAATCCAGTCGGTGTGGTGGGTTTGCTGGCAAATGAAGAACTACCTACAGAACAAAAAGGAGAAAGAAGGTAAGGCTATTTTGAGTAGCCTCTAACTCTTGTGTCTCAAGATATTGTTTGCAATGACTTTAGTGGAAATTGCCTCGATCAATAGCATAATTAACTTTCCTAATAGGTAAAGAAATTGCAGACATATATATCATTTCGTTAATCCCCACAATGACATTTGGGGATAAGTTTTTATAGCCTCAGTTTTGCTTCAAACAAACAAACTGCAAGTAGTTAGGTGATTTTCTTAAAGGCGCGTGGCAAGTGGCAAAACTAGAACTTGAATCTAGATCCTACTAAGCAGATTCTATTTCTTTACTAGAACAAAAATTACTAAATGACAAGAATGGGGAACAAAGTAAGTTCACTCATTAAGGTGCCAGTTAAGCTTCAGTTAACAGAACTAATCATTGTTTGTTATAAGTACAAACATGGTTAGTGACCAAGAGTAAACAAAGGCGTTCTGAAATTTCACAAGTGGGTTTCGATTTCATACTACTTCCATTTCACTGCAGGAGAGCAAAAACAGCCAACATTCTGACAACTTTGGACAGGACAAAGGATCTCATTCAAACTTTAAAAAGTGTTGCTTTGTACCAGGAATTTAAGTAGAATCCTGAGTCCATAACTGCCAAACTTTTAAGCACTCACTGCATGCATGCTGAACTATTTCCAAAATATGACATCAGCTGTGACTTGTTTGTTTAAAGAGGCAAAATGAGACACCAAAATATGGTGATCTCCATGATCTCCTTTCATGCAGTGAGTCCAAAGTAATGGTGTTAATAACATAACTGATATTTATATAGCTCTTTAGAATTTACAAAATGTGTTTATGTATGTTACTGCCTTTGATCTACACAACACCCTTAGGAGGTAATCACTTTAAAGATGAGGAAATCAAGGCTCAGAGAGGTTTACTGATATGCTCATGATCACACAGCTAGTTAACAGATCTGGGATTTCACCATAATCATCCTACCTCCAAATATCATGTTCATTTGCTATGCCATAATCTCCACTTCCTCCCCAAATCTCTGAGCCCTTCACTACAGCTCATCCCTTACTGTGTCTTCTTTCTACAGATATTTCCCTGCTATTTTGATCCCGGGACGCCTCTTTCCCTCCACACTTGGGATGTTCTACCACAGCCACAGGATGTGGAGTCAATCCGAGTTTGAGTCTCAGCTCTATCACTCATTCATCATTCATTCTTACATGCATGCATTCATTCATACATTCAGTCACCAGTATTTCCTGAGCAGCTATGATGGGCACTGGGAATATAACTGAAAAAAGATAGAGAGCATCTTTGTTCTTCCAAAGCTGGGTGAAAAACTTCACTTCTTTGACCCTTAATTTCCTCATCTGTGAAATCAAAACTATATCTATATCACAAATATACTGTAAAGACACCGTAACTATATGAAAGTGCTTCTCAAACACTGGACTATGGAAAATAAGGAGCATTATATATTAAAACATATTGCAAGCTCATATGCCAAGCTCACACCTGATACATTATAAAGGCTCAATAAATACTCAGTAATAGGAAAAGGGAAGGACAGGGCTTGTCCTTGAGCTTGGCATTGCCCTCATCATTCTGTAATTCGTACCACGAAGCCTCTCTATGTGTCCCTGGGCCTTCCTGCCAATAGCAGATCAATGTACACCTAAGGCTGGGCATGCATTCTTCACTGGAGTTTCATTTTATACTTAAGAATGCTTACTTTATTCTAAATATATATGTTTATTATTTTAAAATTTTCTAAATATAAAAAAAAACCTAAAGAACTAAAAAAAATTTTTAAAAAATCAAAACCTTCCATATTGCTGGCATACTGTCATTCATTCATTCATTTATGAAACGCTGTTGAGCACGCTCTGCTTTCCAGGCTGCGGATACAGTGGTGGAAAGGCAGACACTGATCCTGTTCTCATGGGACCCATTGACATTGCAGGACTTTCTGACGAATGCACGTCCAGAATATTTTCTACCCATGATCGGCAATTCTAATTGCTAATGCTATTGAAGCAGAGAACTGACAGATATACAAAGCAGTAGCTAAACCCAGAGGCCATTGCTATCCTCATTAAAAGCTGAAGCGGTGGTTCTCAACCTTGACTGCGAACTAGAATTACCTGGGGAGCTTTTCTTTTTTTAATGCCTCATCTGTGTAGCCCCTACAGCAGTGGATATTTTAGATTTGATTAAGGTTTCTCTCTCCCATTACATTGTAAGTTCCAAGGAGCAGGGATGCTATCTGCCTTGAATTTTTTTTTATTACATCCTGAATGCCTAATATGTAGCAAATACTCAAAAATACCTACTAAATGAGGGAGTTAATGCTAAAGGGTAGAAAGCCATTGCCTGGATGAACTGAATGATACCCCTCCCCACTCTTAGCTTCACCAGCCTCTCGATCTGTTCCTGCTCCAAAGGTTCTGAGACCTCCCCCAATACATTTGGGAGAAATTAAAATTCTCCTCTCCCTCAATTTCCCTTTTAATCCATTAACAATTTCTACTGATTTCCTGTATTAGATATCAGGTGGCTCTGCTGCCATTACGGAGTTGAGACTGTTGCCTTACGTTGTCCGGCAGCAACCTGCAGTCGGCTCTTCCCATGCCCACTCTGCCCTCATTCTTATTGGCTCTCTGAGATGCATCCAGAGTCATCTCATCTTCCTAAAATGCAAAACTAACTGCTTCCTCAATTTGCACTCAGGTTAAAGTCCAAAAAAATTCTGAGATCATTCATAAGTTGGCTTCACCTGTCCAACTCTGTCTCTCTCTAATCCCTCCCGCCACCTCGCCGCCTCGCCCTGGTCTAGCTCACGGGGCTTTTAAACATACCCTTCCCTCCGCCTGGTCCTCTTCCCTGATGCATGGTCTTAACCATCTCGCAGGTCTGCCAGAACTTCTGGATCCCCCAGACTTTGGCTTAGGTGATCTCAGGACACCTGTGACCTTCTTCAGTCCTCTAGCCCCTTTCAGATGATAATGCAGTTGCTATGTAACAGAGGGGGTCCTCTGGGGGCTCTTAAAATGCCCTACACCCAAGCCACAGCAGGAGGACCAATTATATCAGAATATATCTGGCAGGAACCAAGGCATTGGTGTTTGTATCAGAATCATTTAATGTGAAAATACCTTAAGGAGAAGAACACTGTCTTTATCTTTTCTGAACTGTAGCTGCATAATGTGTAAGTTTGATTTTTACTCTTAGAGCACTTGCCTGGGATTCAAAGACTCTGGCTGGCAGCTCTCATTTATCTATCTGTTCATTGTGTAGCTTTAGAAAAGTCACTTAATTTTTCTATTAACATGTTATGTGACTTAAAAAATAGGGGAAATTTAGGAAACCAGCTTCCTCAGAAGGAAGTTGTAAGAACTACTGCATTTCAAAAATGACAATAAATTCTTGAACTGCTCAGGTAGGTTTGTTGTTTATAGTGACATGGGTGTAGCTATGCTGAAACTATTTTTGTCATCGGACTATAAATGTTGCAATCCAAGGAAATGAAAGATACACACATGGAATAGAAGAAGGTATTGGATTGCAATTATATATACTTATTGTTACTCAGCTTCTATCTGTCTTCTGAATGGCAGAGCAATGACACTCCAGTACCAATGAATATATTTAACAGAGATCTTGGTTTTTAAATGCCATTCCAACAAAAAGGAATGAAGGCTCCTTAGAGAGTGTCTGCTTCTAAAACCGGGGCATAAAATGTTCAAGATAAGTATGGAACATCTTGCTGTGTCATAAAGGAAGAAAGTTCTCAAAAAATGATGCAACAAGTAAAAGGATACAGAGCTTTCATAAACCAAATCAAGGACAATGAGAACTTCAAAGTAAATAATGACAGTAATGGATGATAACATATTGAACCAAAAAAGAATCCATTACTCCCTTCAGATGACAGAGAAAGATGACATAGTTTGGATATCTGTCCCCTCTAGATTTCATATTGAAATTTGATCCCCGATGTTGGAGGCGCAGCCTGCTAGGAGGTGTTTGGGTCATGGGCACAAAGCTCATCCCTCATGGATGGCTTGGTGCCCTCCCTGCAGCAAGGAATGAGTATTTGCTCTATAGCTCATGGGAGAGCTGGTTGTGTAAAAGAGCCTGGCACCACCTCCTCACCCTCTCATTTCTTCTCTTGCCACGTGACATGCCTCCTCCCCCTTCACCTTCCTCCTACATTGGAAGCTCCCTGAAGCCCTCACCAGAAGCAGATGCTGGCACCATGCTTGTACAGTCTGCAGAACCATGAGCCAAATAAAACTCTTTTCTTTATATTAATAGATTATCCAGCCTCAGGTATTCCTTTATAGCAAAGCAAACAGGCTAACACAGATGATAGGTAGAGAAAGAAGGAAAGGAAAGGAAAAGAAAAAGGAGGAGGGGGGAGGGAAAGGACAAGGACAGGAAAGGAAAGGAGGGAAAGAGACAGAGGGAAGGAGGGAAGGAAGAAAGGATGGAAGGAAGGAAGGAAGGAAGGAGGGAGGGAGGAAAGGAGGGAGGAAGGGAAAGAAGGAGGGAAGGAGGGAGGGAGGGAAGAAGAGAAGAAAAAAGGAAGAAAGGAAGAAGGAGGAGAGAAGGAGGAAGGAAGGAAGGAAGGGGAAGGGAGGGAGGGAAGAAGGGAGGGAGGGAAGAAAGGAGGGAGAGAAGAAGGGGGAAGAAGGGAGGGAGGGAAGAAGGGAGGAAGGAAGGAAAGAAAACACAATCTTGGAAACAGCATAGTATTAATAATAATTGCTTTGTGCAAGAACCATTAATGAATGGTAAAACTACTGGGTAATAGTCAGATGGAAAATAGAATATTCTCAAATAGGATTAAGTCAAATAGGATAGTCTCAAAATACCACCCCCAGCTTACTCATTACAAAAGGAAGAAACCTTTTCAGTAAAGAACGCTAATAGATACCACCTTAACCAAATGACTCAAGTTAACATCAAACCCAAACTGAGACTTTCTCAACTGGCCTATACCCTTTAAATATTAATGTCATGAAAGACAAAGGCTGAAGAATGACTCCAAATTAAAGGAGTTTAAAAAGACATGATGACTAAATGCCATGTGATGTCAGATTTTTAGAAAGAGCTTCCTATAATTAGGTCACCTCTTCAGAGAGGACTTCCCAAACCACCTGCTATCTACAATAACACCCAGCCCATCCATCACTTGCCATCTCTTCTTTTTTCCTTATGTTTTCCTTTTCCTTATTTTTTTCATAGCACTTAGCATGAGGGCTGTAAGTGTAAGCTCCAGAGCCAGACTTCTTAGTGTTTAAAACCTTGTGATTTGGGCATGTAATTGAACCTTTTCTTCCCCAGTTCCCTCATCTGCAAAATGAAGATTATAATACTGCTTACTTCAAAAGATTATGAGAGAGATTAAATGAAATAATATACATAAAACAGTTAAAATAGTGCCTGGCACATTGTAAGGCCCCCAAGTAACATTAACTGCTATTTTTATTATTTTTATTTGATATTATACTATGCATTTATTCATTTACCATTTGTTTCTCCTTTTAGAATGTAAGCTTTATTAAGGTAGGAGTTTTGTTTCGTTTGGTTTGCTCATTTGGTCGGTTTTTATTAAAACAGTACTAGCACATAGAAGGCACTTAGTAAGTATTTGTTGGATGAATAAATGCATAAAAAACAAACAGTGAATGAGATTTTATTTAAGTAAAATTTCACCTGATGTTATGTATTACTTTAAAATTTGAAACTTACATTAAGATACAAAGAAGGGTGGGGAAGAAAATGATCATGTAAAACAATTTTGAGAATTCTTCTTAAAAAAGGGGAAAAAATCTGACGGGTACAGAATGGAAGGTCAAGATTCTGACACTATTGTTGGCAAAAACATCAACCACGCTCACATTCCCTCCTGACAATCTGGCTATAAATGCCCTGGGGAGGGCTTTCTGAGAACACAAACTATCAACACGGCTAATGTAAACTTTTGTGTCAGGCTAACCCATCCTTATTTAACATCTCTGTACTGCCATAGAGGAAGGAAAAGGAATTCAGAAAAGGATTCAGAACACAGCAGTCCAATGAACTCCTCCTAAAAGAAAGGTTCTTTGGTGAAATAGGTTTGAGAAGCCTGGTTACTGTATCCTTGTTAGCAGTTTTCAAAATCCACCGAACCCAGTGTTTCCCAAAGTCACTTGCTCATGGAACACCTATCTTGTAACAACTATTAACATATGATGAAAAACATTCTGGAATTACTATACAGAGAGCCTATTTTCTGTATAGAATTTTACAAATTGACCAGAGAGCACTATAGTTAATGAGAGAAAGGAAGATAAGTGTGAGGATCTCACAGGTAACATCACAGTAGGCTTCTGCAAGGTTGGCATTTCGTCGTACAAATCTATCTTACCAGCTTTGTCTCAGACCATTCCCCACACGCTACCTTTGCTATAGTCAGCTCTACTGTCGTGTGCTCCTAGAAGCTCTAACATTATTCATGCTACTAATCCAAAATTGGGCATTGAAGAAATGAATTAATACAGGTAATTTACAACCCAATATCTGATACCTATTTCTTTTTTTTTTTTTTTAAGCCGATCTCAGGTTTCAGAGGATAGCTTAAGAATACATACTATTTTAGGTCCTGGGTAATAATACCAGTGTGTTGTAATATCAAAGATTTAGATTTGAGCCTTTGTAGCTATAAGTAAATGCTATTTATATTTTAATCTACTGAGTTTGTACCTAGCGTTCCAAGGTCGGCAAAAGGATCCAGAGTCTGGGGTTTGCTTTGATGGGTGGGAGTACCGTGCGAGGATCCTGTTGGGCTGGTGGCAGCTGACTTGCTTCCCATTCCAAAGCCTCCTGAAAAGGAAATAAGGTCATTGAAAATGAGTTAGTTGTCTGAAGCTGAATTCTGAAATTCAGAATTCCAGAGCTGTTGTTCATTTGTCTCCAGGGCAAATTGGGACAGGGTTTGGAAATGTGTAAGAAGTTGCTAGGCCCTGTTTCTCTGACCTGGGTGAATGGTGGCCTAGAGCAAGGACAGGACAGAGAAAAGACAGATGCTCTTTCCCGGCCACACGTGTGAACTATTATTTCCAGTGTTTACCTCTCATGTCCCCTTTCCTATGGGATTTGCCAGTTCCTAACTGAGTAACCCTGGGAATCTTGTTTTCCATCTTTGAGCTTCAACATCTTATCATTGGTTTTTTTAAAGAAAAAAAAAGGGAACAATAAGAAGCCAAAATCACAGGCAACAGAAGAAAAACAGACAGGACTATATCAAACTAAAAATCTTTGCAGTAAAGGTGACAATCAATAGAATAAAAAGGCAACAGAGTAAAAAGACCACTATCTGTCACCATATATAAAAATCAACTCAGAATGGATTAAAGACCTAAATTTAAAACCCCAAACTAAGAAACTCCTAGAAGAGAACATATAGGAAAAGCCCTATGATATTGGTCTGGGCAACATTTTTGGATATGACCTCAAAAGTATAGGTAAGAAAAACAAAAATTGACAAAAGGGATTATATCAAACTAAAAAGCTTCAGGACAGCAAAAGAACAATCAACAGAGTGAAAAGGTAACTTATAGAATGAGAGAAAATATTTTCAAACTATGTATCTGATAAGGGGTCAATATTCAAAATATATAAAGAACTCAAACAACTCAATAGCAAAAAAACCAAATAGCTCAATTAAAAAATGGGCAGAAGACCTAAACAGACATTTCTCAAAAAAAGATATATAAATGGCCAACAGATATATGAAAAAATACTAACATCACTAATCACCAGGGAAATCCAAATCAAAACCTCAATGACATATCACCTCACTCCTATTAGAAAATCATTACCAAAAAGACAAAAGACAGTAAGTGTTGGTGAGGATGTGGACAAAAGGGAACCCTTAACGTACTGTTAGTAGGAATGTTAACTGGTACAGCCTTTATGGAAAACAGTATAAAATTTCCTTAAAATATTAAAAGTAGAGCTACCACATGATCCAACAATCCCACTACTGGGTATGTGTGGGTGTGTATGTGTATCCAAAAGAAAGGCAATCAGTGTGCTAAGCAGATATCTGCACTCCCATGTTTATTCCAGCACTAATCGCAATAGCCAAGATATGGAATCAACTTACATGTCCATCAATGGACGAATGGATAAAGAAAATGTAGGGTATATACACAATGGAATACTATTCAGCCATGAAAAGAAGGAATTTCTGTCATTCGCAACATCATGGATGAGCCTGGGGGACATCATGTTAAATAAAATATGCCAGGCACAGGAAGACAAGCACCACATGATCTCACTCCTATATGGAAGCTAGAAAAGTTGATCTTATAGAAGTAAGAGAGTAGACTGGTAGTTATCAGAGGCTGGGGTGGTTGGACGTGAGTAGGGGAGGAAGAGATGTTGATTAAAGGGTATATAATTACAGCTAGATAGGAGGAATAAGTTCAAGAGATCTATTGTACAGCATGGTAACTACAGCTAATGATGACATGACTCATTCTTGAAAAATGCTAACAGAGTAGATGTTCACTGTTCTCACCACAAAAATGATAATGAGGTAATGCATTTGTTAACTAGCAAGATTTAACCATTCCACAATGTACATATACAAATATATACAAAGTGCATATATACAAAACATATATATATAAAACATCACATTGTACATGATAAATACATACAATTTTATCTGTCAATTGAAAAAACTTTTAATCAAATAAAGAAGGAAACCTTGTTATGTGCTGCGACATGGTGACCCTAGAGGACATTGTGCTAACTGAAATAAGACAGTCACTAAAAGACAAATACTAGGCCAGGCATGGTGGCTCACGCCTGTAATCCTAGCACTCTGGGAGCCTGAGGTGGGTGGATTGCTGGAGGTCAGGAGTTCGAAACCAGCCTGAGCAAGAGCTAGACCCCATCTCTACTAAACATAGAAAGAAATTAATTGGCCAACTAATATATATAGAAAAAATTAGCCGGGCATGGTGGTGCATGCCTGTAGTCTCAGCTACTCGGGAGGCTGAGGCAGAAGGATTGCTTGAGCCCAGGAGGAGTTTGAGGTTGCTGTGAGCTAGGCTGACACCAGGGCACTCACTCTAGCTTGGGCAACAAAGCGAGACTCTGTCCCCCCAAAAAAGACAAATACTGCATGATTCTTCTCATAGGAGGTACTGAAAGTAGTCAAACTCAACGAAACAGAAAGTAGATGGTGGCTGCTGGGGCTGGGGGCAGGTGGGAGTGGCAGCTGTTGCTTGGTAGGTGTTGAGCTGCAGTTATGCGGGTGGTGAGTGGAAAGGAAGGGGTCATTCTGAGGATCTGTTGCACAACAAAGTGCATGTAGTTGACAATGTTGTACTGCATGTATGTTTGGAAATTGTTGAGAGAGTGAATTTTATGTTATGCAGTGGGGGTAGGGGTGCTATAATTTTTTAAAAAAGGAAACAGTAACTGCTTCAGAAAGTAGCTGTTCTAAGCACATTGTGTGTCTTTGTGTGTGCATGTGCTTAACTTGTAGTGTCATGAAGGCAGTCACGCAAGACAGCTCTCAATAAGTGCCAGAGTAGCCACGAGAAAGAGACCCCGTTAATTACTGACCAATCCAGCCCTTAAATAAGTACTTTGTGAAGAAGGAAGAATATTCCCATTTATTCAGGATCTGCTCTATACCAGAAACTTTCATGTAAACTTTCATAACATAAACTTACACAACTGTATTGGACAAAAGATACCATCCCCATTTTTCAAATTAAAAACTGAGGCTCAGACTTGCCAAAAAACTCTAAGAGTTTCTAAGTGGTCAAGGTACATATACAGCTGTATCTGTCTGATGCTATTGTCAAGACAGACATTCAGCGAATGAGACATAGAAGATAAATAACATATAATAAGTAGCACTATCATGTCATCAAGTGCATTGGGGAAAGCTCCTCCAAAATACGAGTGAGTCTTTAGGAAACATCAACACAAATGACATAGTTGGCCATACTACACTGTAGGTATTCACTTTATCTTAGGTCAAGGTTGTGCTTTGGCAGTTGGCTAAGGGTGTACAAAAAATGACCTGCTGACCTTTACCTGGTTTAGCATGCCAGTCCCAACCTCCCGAAACATCTGGCTGAATGTTCACAGCAGGTGTACTAGAAGCTGCCAAAGGAGACAAGAAAAAGAATGAGAACAAGATAGCTCAGAACCCACTTTTCTGAGTCCACACAGGATAATGCCACCCTTTCTATGAAACCGGCATGGCCTTCCAAGATCAAAGGGATTCATTCCTCGCTTCTGAGTTCTCACCGCACTCAGCAACACTCGGTGTTTTCTGCTTTCACCTATGGCTGCTGACATGAGGGTTGGCAGAAACCATAGATTATTGGCTTCTGTTCCTTCCTTGGGTCACCTTTGCTCTACTCGCCATATTCACACTCTTTGAATTATAACTGAGCATGTGGCTGTCGCCCTTAAATTGTGAGTCCCTTGAAGGCAAGAATGATCTTATGCATGTGTCCCACCCCTACACATAGCACAGAGTCGGTGGGCAATAAGAAAAGAGGAGGAAAAAACTTGAACTCGATTCACTTAGCTAAGCATTCATTAACAAGTATATTTGTATTTGAGGCATGACCCACTTAGAAGTGAAATTTTATTTTCTCCTCTGCTGTGACATGAATTGAGAATGATGAGTCATTCAGAAAATGTACTGGGCACTGGCTATATACCACCCGCTATGAAAGTGCTAGGGATGTGTCTATTGTTAATAAAAATAAACTCACTGCAGCTTCAAAAAAGATCACTTGGCCCCTCTCAAACTTTCAAACATATAATTTTAAAGATATGTTCAGCTACAGAGAATCAGGTGTACTAGAGGAATATGTAAGTTTGGCAGGAAGTTTTTTCTACATCTATGAAATCTACATAAGAAACAGGATGCCATAAGAAAGAATTTCATTCTAAGGCACCTCTAAGTTTGGCCCATAAAAATTTGTGAGTAAAATACAAATACTAAACTGAAACTGCAAGTGGCATTTAAAACACACACATGCACACACAAACACACACACACACACACACACCAGAAGAACTATGAAGGCACCAAGATTAGCATTCCAAGACTTTTATTTACTTGTTTCCTTTATTTAGTACCAACCAAGACATTCTGTACCTTTTCCATCATTAAATTAAAAAGAACATGCCATTATCAGTAATAACAATATTTTCCTTTCTAATCTTCCCTTCTCTTTTTCCCTAGTAACCCATGAAACATGAGGTAGACATTAGGCAGCTTTGCCAACATTTACTGTCTGATTTCCTATAAACTCTGATCTCATTCTCACATCCAACCAACTGGGATATAGAACGAGGCATTATAACTTCAACATTATTACTAATCAAACCCTTCTAAAGTTGTGACCAGTAATGTTCAACAGCTTTCAACATCAGGAATGAACTATAATTCTCTGGCTCAAAGCCATTTACCCTTCACTTCTAGTTTTAAAACTAGAAGTTTTTAAAACTTCTTGTTTTAAAACTTCTAGTTTTAAACAACATTACTTAAGTGACACACTTTTGTACTTACAAATGGATCAGACTTGCCACATTTCAAGTGCTGAACAGGCACTTGTGACTAGTGGCTATCGTATCCTAAACTTTGTGTTCTGGGCAATACTAATTTTGTGGAATATGAATGTATTTTATTAATTTAAGAGCTATATTTTCCACATCTCAAAGATTTTCCCAACAAGGATGCAACTTTCAATCATTTAAAAATGGAAGTGTTTTTTCTTTCTTATTGATATACAAAATAATGATACATCCTACAACCAATGGTGACTTATGATTCTCTTCATATAGCTCTAACACAAAAAATAATTCCACAGTCAAATAAAACAAAGTTAAGCAGGCTTCTTTTTTATAACATACCCCAAAGCTTTCACTATCTTAATGTGAATTATTAATTTCCAGAAGAGAAACATACAAGGTAGCTTTTCCAAAAAAGAGGCATTCACAGATGCTCCTTATATCTGAGCACCTACTGATACTTTGTGGAAAACTATGTTCCACCGAACACAACATAAAATACTTCCTTACCGTGTACTGTGGGTGAAGGACTCCTTGTTGGCTGAAGAAAGGGGTCACTGGAAGCACTGGCCGTGTTCAGAAAAGAACCCAGCAAATCTTGACCTGATGGTTTAGAAGGTGCTCCAAATGGGTCAAAGGTGGCACCTAGAAAACGCCAGGAAAAATGTATTTATTTGTCCTATGAGTTCATTCATTCACTAAATATTAAAGAATTGTCACTATTGCTTAGCCCTGGGCCAAATTCTTGAACAATCAGGATGATACATGCTTCCTGGGCTGCTCCACGGGCCTAGCCTAGCCTCAAAACTTCCTGCAGAGCTAAGAATAGACCCAGAGGATTTCTGACCACACATGAATAATCCCATCTTTGCGGACAAAGGGGTAGTTTGGATTTACCTGCCAGATGAACCGCAGCCGATACCACCGCCGCTACACAGAGCTATTAATAATCTGCTGCCAGCAGGTGTTGGGAGAGCATTATGCCAGTGAAGTCACAGCTGAAAACTTAGGAAACCACATATCCTACCTGGGCTGTAGGAGTGGGATTTATCTGTTAACCAGCCTTATCCGTTCTCATCATGACTTAGAGTACATTATAAATATCAATTTATATTTAATTAGAGGCATTTTCCAATAACTAAAACTATTCGACACTACAAGAACTCAAAATTTAGTTCTGCAACAATGCTGAAAGGTCATGATTATCCTCATTTTATAACTGAGGAAATTAAGATTTTTTTCAATAAGTGTACGCAGATGGTTAAGTGTTGGTCCTGGGATTCAAATCCAGGCCTTCAACTCTAGACCTGGTATTCTTTCGACTTCCTCTTTAGGAGCAGAATACTTGCATTCTACACCTGGGTCTGCCGCTAATCCTCTGGGTTACTCTTGGACAGGTCCATCAATATATCTAGGCCTCAGGCTCATTGCCTGTACCCAGAGGCACGGAATTAACTGACAGGTCTAAGGCCCCTGCTAGCGGTGGCAACTGGACTACATACAACTGCCTGCACGGGACTGTGATGAAAGAAACTGACAGTCATGCACAGTGCATAGTCTTAAAACGTGGCCATCAAGTACTACGCTGTCTTGGATCTTGAGGATTTTTTCTTTTTCTCACAGAGCTTTTTCTCACTTTGGTGAGCTGAATGGAAGGCAGTGAAGTATAGAGAAAATAGCCTTGGCATCGGAGGCAGGGCACAGAGTTCCCCAGTAACTAATGGGGGAGCTTGAGACTCAATACCTGTGCTCTGACTCTGAATCCCATTGTCATAAAGGATGCCTCCAGTTGAATCACCATAAATCAAGACCATCCCAGAGTCTTCTGAGAAGGGAAGGGTAAGCTTGGAGGAAAAAGTTCCTACAGGACACTATAGGCTTGAAGCATTGAGACATTTCTTATTACCCTTCCTAATGTGATGTCGTCTTGGTTAATGATGACAGTAAGCCAGGGGGAAGCTGTTTTGAATTGGTTCTTCAGAAGCTGTAATGGATCTCTGCTTACCCAGCTATACTGTCTTGCTTGCAAATGTCAAAAAACGGTGGATGGCCCATTGTAGAAAGGGTTGAGTCTGCAGCAATGAGCACAGTGAAACTATCTGAGCCCCAGGGGGCTCCAGCTCCTTGTTGGGTACCAATTGCTCTGTTTCAGTCAGCTATGCTGATGGCATGAGTCACTGAAATATATTTTGAAATAACCAAACACTTCTCTGCACAGCCAAAGTGTATTCAGGAAACTACAATTCCAGGAAGGCATTACAAGAAAACTGAGGGAAAGCTCTAGAGTCAAATGGCCTAGTTTTGGACTCTGGCCCCATCAATTACTAGCCATAGACACTTATGCTACTAATTTAACTCTAAGTCCCCATTTCCTCAAATATAAACAATTATACAATGGGGATAAGACTCGTACTTATTGATTGGGTTTTTCTAAAAAATTAAATCATGTTTAGTGTTAAATTCCATGTCTGGGAAATAGTTAAGTGCCCCATAATTATCAGGGGCTATCATTAATAATAATTCATTGGTCTATATCTCCAAGCATAAGTAAGCAAAGCAGCTCAGGGATTGAAGTCCCAAAAACAAGGAAATAAAAAAATAAGAATGTGAAGCTCAAATATCCAGTCTTACACTACCTTTCTTCTCTTGTGATCTCTGTTTAAATGAAGACACAAGCCTTTAAGAGACCTTCAGGGAAACCAGAAAAGTCTAGCTTATTAGGAAAATTCAATTCTACCTGCTTGGCCCAAATGTTAAAATTCAAAACTGAGAGGTACCGCGCAAGATGGAGAAAATTACCTTCTCCCACTCTGAGGGTTGGAGATGCAGAGGCGGAGGCGGCAGAACGGCGCGGTGTTGACTGGGAGGACGCAGGTCCACTCGCATGAAACACGTCTTCCACCCCTGCCTGTCCAGCCTGGGCAGGGCCAGCCGCTCCTCCACCCCCAAACAGGTCGCTCAGCAGTTCAGAATTGCTGGGAGGAGCCGCCGGTGGAGAGAAGTTCTCACTCACTGCAGACCCTTCTAGGCCCAGCAGGTCCACTTCCTCGGGGGGCGGAGGGGCAGCGGGCTCCTGCTGCTTTTTGCTGGGCTTCTTGGCCCCACGAGGCTTGTCACCATTGGCATTGCCATGTGGACTGGAAAGGGTCAGAAGTTCATCATCCGACTGCTCACTTTCCTGATTCACCAGGGCAGCGTGGTCCTCCTCACAGAATGACTTCTCTGATTTCTGATCTAAGGAAAGCCAATATGCTCATAAATGCTTAGTTACTGACCACAGCATTGCTGAGTTTTGCTATAGGTACATAATTCCAGAAAGAGAGAGAAGAATCCAGCCATGAGCAAATAGTGCTTTCAGATCCTTACCAATGGAAAATGTGACATACTTCACATTCAGATGTGACATACTTCAACGTTCACTTATATTCAGTCACCATTTGTTGAGCATCTGAGACACAGTACAGTATGGTGGCGAGGAGCAGAAACTCTAGAGCCAGACAGCCTGGGATTGAATCCAGCTCCACTGGTTCTGTGACCCTGGGCAAGTTACTTTACTTCTCCGTGCCTTGGTTTCCTCATCAGCAAAATGGGGCAATAAATAATACCTAATTCACAGGCTACTGAGAATTATATAAGATGATATTATAAAGTACTCAGATCAATAGTAAGTAGTACCTACCTGTTGACTTTTCTTATGTAATTTTCAGGCACTATGCTAGGTTTTAGAGAAAGAGCATTATCTGCTAGTCAGTCCTTTGCTGATACCTCTCACTGTCCTTTACTTCTCCCATGTGTCCTACAGCCAAAAGAGAAGCCTTTCTCCCACTGTCTGGAGCAGAAATGACCACACACCTAGTAAGTGGAGAGAAGGATTCTGCTTCGGATGGTCCTTAAACCAGCCTGCAAGGAGATACTGTCAGCATAAACTGGGCAGCAAGAAAGAGGCCTGTTAGGGGAAAGAGTGACTTTCCAGGCCCTCCTTGCGGCAGATCTTCCCATGAAAATGTATTATTGAATGTCAGATAGACCCACATTCCAAAGCAAGTACAGATCCATATCCTTTACTCTCAATTCTGAAGTGCAAAAAGCTATGAAAGGGAAAGGCCTTCCTAAGTTTGGCATAAACTTAGTTGGCAGAAAACTGTCCAGAACAGATATGAAGATACTTATAGTCTCCATTTATCTCACTCAGGGTTATTATTTATGTGTTCCACTGCAGAAATATTAATGTGTTTGATTATAGGCTGTTGTCTGATATACCACTGAGGATATTAAGTAATACAGGATTTATGTGCCGTATCACCTTTCTAAAATTCAAAAAATTCTGCATTCCTAAACATATCTGGCTCTAAGAGATTCGGATAAGAGATTGTGCATCTGTGCTAAAACGTTATTTCAGGCCAGGTTTTGTGGTTCACATCTGTGGCTCATAACTTAGCACTCAAGGAGGCTGAGGTGGGAAAACCTGCTTGAGGCCAAGTATTCGAGACCAGCCCGGGAAACATAGTGAGACTTCCTCTCTACAAAAAAAAAAAAAAATTAGCCAGGCATGGTGGTGTGTGTGCGCCTATAGTCCTAGCTACTCAGGAGGCTGAGGCAGGAGGATCGCTTGAGGCCAGGAGTTCAAGGCTGCAGTGAGCTATGCTCATGCCTCTGCACTCCAGCCTGGGCAACAGAGAAAGACTCTGTATCAAAACAAAAAACCTATTATGGAGCCTACAGGAATCATTTCTAAATTTTTCATTAAAATGGTAGTGGAGAGGTAAGAGTGAAGTTGTATTAAAAGTCCTTACTATGAGGAAGATAAGAGGTAAGGAAAACCAAGAGGGGGCTGAAAAGTCTACCTGTTGTCTAGATATCACCAGGTTTTCTTAAGTTTGAGAAGTTGCTAGATGCATTTCTCAGAAGAAAATTATGAAAGTAAGCCCTTCAATTCAAAGAAATTTTATGAACAATTTTTTTCACCAAACACTGAAAACTTCTGTAGGCAACAGGAATACTATCTCATATTTCTCACATTGGAGAAAGGCCAATCAGGAGAATTTCAAATAGATCGTCACCAAAGCCAGTTTTCCACCTCTTTCATTCAGAAAGTCCCAACTAATCGATTCTACACTGAACCTTGCAGGTAACCACAGACAATTCTAAAGCAAAGATGGCCAGTGGGCATTGATTAGGAGGCCAATACCAGTCTACTGACTGGTAGTGGCTAGAAGTGTTATATTGAGAAGAATTCTGAAAATATCTCTAGGTTTGAGAGAAAAGACTACAGTGATCGAGCCCTGATTACTGCTGTGGCTGTCAAGCAAGTAGCAGAGACATTACAGGTCAAGTACATGCCTTCCCTGCACCAGAGTAAGCTCAGTTCTGCCCTGAAACTGGTTATAGCTCTCTGGAAGAAATGCTCAATATTGTATTTTTAGAATATTTAAGGCCAGGAGATAGACTCCTTTATGAATCTCTTTGTACTGGCAACAGCCTAAAAGAAATCCTAGAAAACATCACACTTATTTGTCAAACCAGGAAAGATGTGACCCAAAATACGGCATAAAGAGTGAAGCTAGAATTCAGCTTAAAATGGCCTTTTGCATCAGTATAAGAGCGTCTGTGGAGTTGAAAGTAGGTAAGTTGCCTGACTTGAAAAAGGAATGCGTGGGAAGGAGCAACTTGGATGGCTTCTGTTTGCTGCTGTGCTCTAGGCTGCTTCTAGGGCTAATCATTTTTATAGAAGAGCCACATAATTTAATCATCAAACCACGTAACTTAAAGAAACGCTTGTAAGTACCTTGCCAACAGAGAGAGGCAAAGAAACCGCCTTGCCCGAAATGCCTGGGGTTGTCTGGAGGGATATCTATTGGAGCCTGTCCTGGAAGACAAAAGGCCATGCAGCATCAATGAAACACAGGAAATCAGTTCAATGTGGCAAATAACAGAGGGGCTTCGTCTTGAAAGAATTCATACCTCCTAAGGCCAGCGTATCCTGATGCTCCTGGTGAGAAGAGAAGAGGATGCTGGGGTTGACATCTTTTGTGCAGTAATGTTCCCACGGTGGGGTTAAGTCTATTACTTTGTCATGGGGCTGTAGTTCTACATCCAGTGTCACCTGAAATAGCTGAGGATACTTTTCTGGTACATCACATGCATCTAACTCTGGCCTAAAGAGGGATTTAAAAAAAAAAATTGGGTCAATGAAAAACAATGGAACCAACATGGAGTTCAACACAGAAATTAGCATAGGTTAACTCTTAGGTTAACTTTGAGGCACATTTCTAAGGAAGACTCAATCATAATCAGATAAGTTACTTGACTTTCCTGAGCTTCAGATTCCTCATCTAAAGAAAGAGAAGAATAATCCCTGCTCAGAGAGTTTCTCAAGTTGAATTTTGAGGATAGGAAATAAATGAAATTAAAAAAAAAAAAAAGAAGCACAGAATTTGGACGCTAATGCATATAAAAACATTCTAGAAAGCAGGCCAGATATATTGATCAGTATGCACTGGCATGGTCCAATTGGTTGTTAAAATAGTGAAAAGGGCCCACAGCTACCAGCATGAGCCCTTGAACGTCTCCACCCCTATCCTGGCCCCTGCAACCCTTGCCTATCACCCAGCTTCAGCCGCCCCCTGAGTTCCTAGACCACATAGGATGCAGGTTAATGTCTGGCAGGGGGATCCTCCAGAACCCTGCTTCAGAGCCATGGCCAGGCATCCACTCTGGTGGTCACTGCTCCTACCACACCGCTGTCTGCACTGCCACCCCTGCGGGAAAACACAAAGGGACACACAGATGCAAAGCCTCAAAAGCAGTGATACTTTTCCCCCTCTTTGTTTACTCTTGTTTCCTTACGTGGAATTTTAGACCCTTCTATGTGAAGTCTTTGATCTGTTTGTACCTCTCAAGACTAGTCACACCCAGCTGAAAAATTTCAAGTGCGTCCAGCCTCTCTGAGCTGCCAAGCTACACTCAGCGGTCCGGGAGCGTGGGATTCCGGGGGATATGGCAGCGCAGCGCCACGCGCCTCCGCATGGCACGGCCGCACTGACTGACGCTGACTTTTGGCCCAGGCAGTACTTACTTGGTGAACTTTAAAACCGTTGTGTCCAGTGGTATGAATCCTGTATGAAACTGAAGCTGGAATATCTGCGTGTTGGTCACCTAAAAATACACGAGAGAAGCACATTACGATTGATCAGTGACAAGGAAATGGGATCAAAAGATTAGATTTGGGGGAGCCAGGCTCCTTCAATTATTTCTACATCTGAATCTTTGTTTACTCTGAATATTAAGAAACCTCTCTGCTCAGAACCTGCTCAGCTTCATTTCCAACCTCTCCTCTCCATGAACTCTGCCTTGGCAAGCCATGTCCTCATCTACTAATATCCCATGTTTTTCCACATTCATGCACATTGCCGTACTTTGATTCACTTTGATGCCTTCTACCCAGGACACCCTGCTCCAACCCAAGCAACCCATCCTTCAAAGGCCACCATGAAGGGTCATATCCTCTCTGCAGACTTTCTAGGCCACCACTGGCTAAAACAAACTACTCCCATTATAGCACCTCATCCTCCCTCTAATGTGGTATTGTGGATATTTGTCCTTGTGTGAACTTTGCTTGCAAGCGTGAATTTCTTAAAGACAGAAACAGTTTTGTTCTTGTCAATCCTAAACACCTAGGCAATGGCTATCACAAAGCATACGTACACTTAGCAAAAAACGTCTAATGAATTAAAATGCAATTATTTGCAACATTATTCCTAACAGCCAAAAAGTGGCAATAGTCCAGATGTCCACCAACTAATGAAGAGATTAATAAAATGTGATATAGACATACAATGGAATATTACTTGGCCATATAAAGGAATGACATAAAGACACATGTTATAACATGGTATGCCTCAAAAACATGATGCTAAGTGAAAGAAGCCAGCTGCAAATGACTACATAGTGTATGATTCCATTACATGAAATGCCCAAAATAAGCAAATCCATAGAGACAGAAAATAGATTAGTGGTTGCCAGGGGATGGGGGAGGAGGAATGGGCAGTGACTGCTGATGGGTACAGGGGAGTGATGAAAATGTTCTGAAATTAGATAGTGGTGATGATTGCGTAACTCTTTGATTATACTAAAAACTACTGTATCACATCGTACAATTTTAAAGGGTGACTTTTATGTTATGTGGATTTTATCTCAATAAAAAAATTGAAAAAAAAAAATCATTGAATTCCACATCCTTAGTAGAAATCTCTCCCCTTACACTAATCCAAGTGGGACACTGTAAGAAAGACCCAGCTTCTAAAAAGCATGGTTTGCTAAAAGTTCAAGGGCTGCCTCCTCTGGCACAGTTACCATCATGCCAAAGACTTTGGGAAAGTCACAGCCTCTCTGAGCCTCAGTTTCCTCTCCTATAAGATAAAGGAGATGAACATGAGCAATCTTTAAAGGCTCTTTCTCATTCTAAAACCACAAGCCATTCAAGCCCAAAGGGACGTGGAGAAAAGAGTCAGAAATATTCCTTTTAAAGACTCAGATGAGTTTACACCCGATTCTTCCTGAAACCATACCTTAGCCTGCAGCCGGCTCCCGATGGTTGACCTCAAGTGATACATGGACACGACCACATCTCCTTGCACAGTGATGTTCAAGGGAATGAAGATTTTTCCATCTTGGACACGGTACTCTCTTTAAACAGAGACCAAAACGTACATTGAAAGAGAGTTCAATCTGGTACAATCACACAGACACAGGTGGAGTTCCCTGTGGCTCTGGGCAAGGGACCTGTTTTCCCAGGCCTAGACCCAGAAACCACTTCCTATCTTGAACAAAAACAGGACTGCAGCTTGTGCCAACTGGGTCTGCAATGGGATGGAGCTGGTCTGATGCCAGGGGCTCTCTTTGCATCCACCTGGACTTCCAAACAGTGCAACTGCCCATCGCTGCTTTGCAGATCTCTTGTTCTCCATGCATGCATCTAGCCCTGGAATATTTGCCTTTTCCTAACCTTAAATTAATAGTAAAAGCAGAGGTAAAAGGAAAAAACAATCCAATCGAGATCAGTATAGAAACAGAAATGTCATGCTCAGTGAGGGTCTTAGGTATCAATCCCCAAATTCAATCTGTTCCAAACTAATTTCAATTTATGTTACTACCCACTCCTTTCTCTCCACACTCTCTACAAACTCCCACTGGCACTTGCTCTTTGTTATGGATTCTATACCTTCTTTCATTATATCACCATCTACATAGTTGCTTACTCTCATTCATCACTGTCTCTGCCACCACCCTCACCGAATCCCATCAAGACCATCTCCTTTAATGACCAGGTCCTTTGATCCCCACCACTGTCTTACCTTCATTACAGCTCGTGCTGGTCCCTTAATCTGTACTGACATTTGACTTGAAAAGGGGCCATGAAATCCCTTGATTTAGCTGTCCTTTTCTATGATTACCACTGAGATTGAACTTTTTAAATACCTATCAGCCATTTCACAATGCTATAGTCTTGCAGGAAGAAGATGATCCAACTTATACAGGAATTGAGCAGTGCACAAGAAGAACTGAAGAAAAGTATCATGACTTACTTCATTCGTTCAAAATCTGTGCAGGTTGAATATATTTTGGTTTCTCCAATCAGCACATCACAGTAAGGGCGACATCCGTTCCTCTGTTTGTTAAAAAAGGGTATTGGACTGACAGTGATAGACTTAATTGTGAGAGGCTTGAAGTGAGGGCGGTAGGGTTTGTCTGCTAGTAGGTCACACATATAGCCCAGGTATCTGAAACAGAAGATTGCCACTCTGTTGGGGCCCATCACACCAGGAGAAACAAGCGATCTTTGTGATGAAGATAGCAAAAGTTTGTCCTTACAAATTATTAAGTTACCATAAAAATTTACTCTGTTAATTTCTCAAACAATGACTAGCAAAAGAGAATGCATCTTTCTCTACCTTTGCCAGAAAAGAAAAAGAAAAAAGAAAAAAGAGAGAATGCAGCCAATAATTTAGGAAATATTTTATCTATTGAGGTTGCTGTACTTCCCCAAAGAACCGATAATGAGTATATTTATTAAATCAAAAAGCTGCTGGGAGCTTTACACTAGCTCAATATTTGAACATCTATTCCTAGTTTATCTAGAAGATTAAACTTAGCAGCTAAAACCTGGCTTTGGATACAATTTAGAATTTTCTCCTCAGAAACGCTTTTAATTCAAAAAAGTAAGGAGATACAATTTAAATAAGAAAAAGAGCTGAGCATGGTGGTACACCTATAATCCTAGCTACTGGGAAGCTGAAGAGGGAAGATCGCTTGAGACCAGGAGTTCCAAAGCAGCATGACCAGCCTGAGCAAAATGCCCAGGGGGAACCTCTTAAGAGGTCTCACAAGTGAACAAGTGAGATTTCTAAAAGACTAGTAGACCCTCAGGTTAGTGTCCTAGGGAAGTCATATGTTAGAAGATGGGAGTATAAATATTAAATTTTAAAAAATACATGTTAGGATTCTTTCTTATCATTGCATATAAAATTATGAAGTTTTAGAAATTAAGTTTTTCTTCAAAGGTCATTATGCTTAATTTGAAAATGTGTAGGAAGACTGGAAATAGGAGATCCTATTTTGAACACTGGAGCTGTGGTATAGTTTGAATAAAATTGAAGAACCACGTCTTTTCACTTAGTTTTATGATAACATAGCATCCATTATCCTATCACAAGCAATTAACTACTGAAAGAAAGATTTTCATCAAGAGTAACATGAGCTCCGGTTGTTTTGTACTTCAAATTCCTTCCGTGTCTGCCACAGGATGAACATCATTGGTAAGTATAATCATCTATTGCTAGTATTTCAATAAAGATCTGTGTAGTGAAACAAAAAGGGTCTGGTCTTAGAGCTTGGGATGAAGGATGATGTTCTGGCTGTGTCCATTAGGTATTTTTAGACCTAGGGCAAATCACAACCTGTCTGAATCTCAGTTTCCTCACCTGTAAATTGAGGGAAGTGGACATAAGTATTCTTTATTTAAAATTTCCTTCTTATTTTAAAAGCATAGATTCTCATATTGGGGGGGCTTATGAAACTTTATAAAAACCCAACATCCTAATCCAATTCAATTTTTTTTCCATGGTTTAGGGTAATGCCAGATAAATTAAAAGAAAGTTACGAAAGCATCTACAAGACAGATTTCAAACAGTGCATGGATAGCAATTAGACCACGTCTGTGTCTTCACTGCTTCTAGCTTACTTTACCTCCTGTGGGAAGGCGAAAGTCCAATTCCTGGTCGCTTTGCATACAGCAATCGAACCGCTGGGCCAGGAGCAGAGTAGAGATTACAGAAAATGAACATAGCACCAACCAGAATTGACGATGCTGCCCGTCCATCCTTTCAAAGAAAATGCATAAACTCATCATGAACATGATCAAATTGGCCATTCTCCAGTAAGAGAAATGAAGAGAGGGAAAGAGGAGAAATCCTCTTAACTAGGTACAGGTGCCTTTTACTTCAAAATGGTTGACTTGAAAACCAAAATCTTTTCCAGCTATATAAATCACAAAGCAATAAGAAAAGACTTATTCTTAGGATAAAATTGACTCTGTACTAACCTAAGAAGCCCAGTAAATTTGATTTGCATCTATTTACTGAAAAATAAGGTAATCTTCAAAGTAACTTGGGACTTGTTGCACCAAAAATAATAGCCATGGTCTTCTCATTTAGGACTGGAAGTAAAGACCTCACAGGTAAGGTAAAGGTTGCTTGTTGAAATATGCTATATATGTATTTCTTCCAAAGTATGCTCCTAAATTCATATAAAATAAAGAAGCTGGGCCAGGTGCAGTGGCTCACACCTGTAATCTCAGCACTTTGGGAGGCGGAAGCAAAAGGATCGCTTGAGACCAAGAGTTCAAGACCAGCCCGGGCAACATAGCAAGACCCTGTCTCTACAAAAAATTTTAAAATTAGACACGTGTGCTGGCGCACAACTCTAGTTCCAGCTACTCAGGAGGCTGATGCAGGAAAATTACTTGAGCCCAGAAGTTCGAGGTTGCAGTAAGCTATGATTGTACCACTGTACCCCAGCCTGGATAACGGAGTAAGACACTGTCTCAAAAAAGGAAGTCTCACCTAAATAAATCTGTTGTGACCTGAATGTTTATATCCTCCCAAAATTCTTATATTGAAATCCTAACCCCAATGTGACAGTATGAGGAGGTAGAGATTTCAGGAGGTGACTAGGTCATGAGAGTGGAGTTCTCATGAATGCGATTAGTGCTCTTATAAAAAGCGACATCAGAGCTTGCTTTCTTCTATTTCTGCTCCTGGGCCAATGTAAGGGTAGAAGAAGACAGCCAGGAAGCAGTCCCTCCCTAGACACTACATCTGCAGGCACCTTGATCTTGGACTTCTCGGCCTCCAGAACTTTCAAAAATAAATTTCTGTTGTTTAAGCCACCCAGTCTATGGTATTTTGTTACAGCAGCTCAAGCTGACTAAGACAACATCCAAGAACATCTCTATAGATGGTGACTCAGACTCTTCTAGGGCACTTTCAGTGACAGCAAGATTACTGATACTTGAAGTAGCCCATTTCAGTTTACAGAGTGCTTCCTTATACTGAATATGTTGAGTTGAATTCTATTCCTCCATAGCTTCCACTCAATGACAAAAAATAAATCCACTCCTTTCTCCCTGTGACAGCTCTTCACATATCTGAAATATCCTCCCTTTCCATTAACACTTCTATTTCCCATTCAAAACAAACCCAATCCCTTCAGTTCTTCCTCATTTCATATCCCATGTTAATAGATAACATTTAGTGCACTTCTTCTAAACAGACGCAAGTTTTAAAACAACCACCTTAGGTGTGTTGCCGGGATGTGAAACATAAGATATGAGATGCATTCTGACCAAACTAGAGGGAAAATATCATTTTCCTTAGTCTGGGCACTATGCTTTTATTAACATAACCCCAGCCCAAACTAGTATGAATGTAGGTTAAATCACGCCATAAGCTCTTAGTCATCTCTCTGTCTGCTAAAACCCCTAGATTTTTTTCCAGAGGATCTGTTAAGCTAATAGATTAACAGATGTTTAATCTTTTAGAATCAGAATTCAGGACTTTACATGTATCTTGTATTTAATTTCACATTGTTAGTTTTCGTTAAATGATCGACCTGTAAAAACTTTTTAAATCCAGATTCATATGTGACCCTCACGATTCTAACAAAACTGGTAAACTTGATTTCCACATCTTCGTCAAGCTGTTGATTAAAACTTTGGGTGACTAAATTAAACCTTCTCCCAGGAGGATGCTGATCCATTAATCACATACCTTTGGAAGCAGATAGTCAGCCATAACTCAACTAAATGTACAACAACCTAGCTCAAATGTCTCCATCTTCACCATAGGAAACTGAGAAATATCTTTCAGGTATCCAATAAACTATCTCAGTTAGTCTATTAAGCATGTTGTGAAGTGTTCTGTTGGTTTGATGTGTGTGATCATAATGAACCAATGGGGACTCCTTTTTTTTCTAAGAGTGTAAAATAATCAGTACAAAAATTTACTAGAATTTTGCCTTGAATTACTATCAGGCTCAGCAGAATATAACTTTCCAGGATCAACCTTGTCCATCTATGGAGGAGTATCTCCCCTCTTCATTTGCCTGGCACCTCTCCTTCCTGTTTCCTCATGGTACACAAGAAATCCATAACTGCTTCTCCAAGTGTTTGCAGCAATGTGTCACACAATTCAAATCTAGAGAGTGAATTAATTTTAAGACCTATGGGGCTCTCGTACTATCTCACTACCTATCAGCTTTCTCTTAACTATCATTGTTACATCTTTTCTAGATTGATGTTTGCTCCCTCTGATAAAGGAGACAGAATAAAGGAGTTAAGATTATATTATATGCCTCAAGAATTTGTTGTTGTCCTTATTCCAAACATAATTTTCTTCTAAAAGACATTTTTCTCAATCTTAATTCTTTTTAGAATTTAGGCTTCCTAAGCCTCTTTTAACAAATCTGTGGCTCTTGAATATGTGTTCCCTCCTTTTCTCCATCATGCAGGTCTTTTTAAAAGTTTTAATTTTTTAACTAAAAGACTAGTATGTGCTTATTATTTTTATAATTTTGTTGTATGCTAAGATAAAAATAATAGCTCCCACTCCCAGCTTCAATTTCATTTCCCAAAGACTTGGCATAGACATCCAAATTATGCATGTCCTTTGCAAGTGAGCCTACAGAGCATATATTTTGTGGAACCATAATCATTTGTTTGCCTCTTTTTTTCTTCTTCTTCGTTGCATTTTTATTCTGTATGACCATGTCCTTAGAGGTCTCTATCAAGCCATCTTCCTTATGTAGTTGTCAGATATAGGTTCCCTGCACTTTTAAAAAATTCTTGAGAAAATCACTAAGGTGTTTATAGCTGCTTAGTCCCTAAATGTTCAGTTGCACAATCTGTTGTGCCTTGGAAAAGAAAACTGTTTGGTCTTTAACACAAGATTTCTACAAATACCAAGTGGTTTTCCTTTATTGCCAAGAGTTTAGGGGAAATGAAGTAGAAAGATGAAAGATCTTCAGCTTTCTTCCCTGTTTTAGCCAGCTAGCCCTCAAGAAAAGGCTGGGGGTAAGAAATCATCGAGTAATATTAGAGCAAAAAAATACATCCTAAAGTCTATAGAAGCAATGAATATTTCCAGCATTTATGCTGAGATTCCATTTGCATATTCATCTGTTAATGTATTCAAGCACTTGTTCAAACATTCATGCCTGGGGTATGAAGGTAAGAAAGGCACAGTTCTTTCCTGCAAGATGCTAATAATCTGGTGGCAAAACAGGCAGGAGAAGAATTTATGATGATGCAGGGTATTAAATTGTAAATGCCACAGAAGACATTTAGACACTGTGGGAATGAATGTCCATATTGTGAAAATGCTCACAAGTCAGAAAGATTTTACCTAAAGCTGAGTTTCACAGGATAAACAAGACATCCAAAAAGGGCTGGGGAACTCTAGGAAGTCAGTAGTCAGAAAAATCATCAGTCTCACCAGGAACTGTTCTAAAATATCTATGTGACTTCTTTCAAAGGCATCAGTGTCTTTTTCTTTTATTTTTATTCAAACACAAATAGGAATAAAAATAAATATGCCAGTATATTTATTTCAATTTCGTTCACACAAAACTCAATGGCATTATTACCCGGGCAGCCACAACTCTTGTTTCTATCTCTTTTATAATACTTGCCACATTCTAGAGTCCCCACATTATGTGGGTTGCGTACACATCTGCCTCTCCCATTAGTACTCAAGCTTTAAGCCAAAAATAATGAATAGTTATTCAGTATGGGCTCAGTGAATCCTACTGAACTCAAATATGACCTGCCCACCGTTCTGTACAGGGCCATCTGTACTTGACCAAACCAAACCATCAACACCACCACCAACAAAAGGTTACTCACCAAGCAGTGGACAACACAGACATTTTTGGGATTCTGTAGTAGCCAGTTATACATATTCCGACACACAGCAAAGAGGTTGTGCAGACTGGGGGCCTGTCTGATGGGCCAACTGCATTCTGAGACCTAAGGGAACACAGCAAAAGGAAATGAATTCTCCCAGCAACTTTATCGCCATAAGAGGGTACCACACCAAAGAATTTCTTCTGCAAGTGATATATCCTCTTTTAACATAGCCAGGAAGAGTTGGGAACAGGGTCCAATGCAAAAAGAAGAGGTGTTTAACACAATAATTTTTTTAAGTAAAGAATTCTGTTTCAGTAAAGATATGAAAACACATTTTGAAATACACCTGAAATTAGATTAGACCATTTCAACTACATATTTGGATTTTTTCTATTCTGTAAGGTTATATATAATTTAATTTCTACTAAGTATAAAATGCTTTGATCTCCCCAATAAATGCTTAATTACAGGATTATCTTACAAATCCTGCACTATCCCTAATTTTATCCCAGCTCTCATGATAATATGAAAAGTGCTACAGAGTGAGCCAAAGGCAGACTTGAGCAACGATCTTACTTGTTCACTTTTAATGAAGGCACACACAATTCACAGGCAGGGCCTTCAGCATTTTCATTCATTTAACACATTATGGAGCATCAACTATGTTCTAGGAATGCTACTTGGCTCTGATTCCTGCAATAATTATTTCAGACAGGTATTAATATGATCTTCATTTTGAAAATTAAAAAACTGACTCTTGGAGGTTGTCTTGCCCAAAGTCACACTGCAGATCAGCACCAGTACTACAGCCCAGGTCTTCTGAATATAAATCATCATGCTACAGCAGCATACTGGTTGCAATTATAATTTGCTGCAAAATTCTGGATATGAGCCTCAGTTGATTAGGTATTTTCTAACTTAACTAATAAACAATAAGGAGAAGCTTAGATTTGAACAAACATCATGACCTCTCTCAGCCTTCCTTTCTTCATAAAGTGTGGTGAACAGTACCTACCTACATACCTCACAGGGCTGTGTATATTACATAAGAATGTACTTCAAAGTCTTAGCTCAGTATCTGACACGTACAAAGTGATCAATAAATGTTAGTAATTATTATTGTTATTTTATCAGGTAACTGCTAACACTAAGCCTTAGGGTCTGAAAGAGCCGGTCAAAGTTTTAAAAAAAGGAATGAAGTCCTGTATACCAAGAGTTACAAGGCCTTGTTAAGGAGCTAGGAGAATATTTAAGGAGAGTGACTCTCTCAAATGTGCATTTTTTTTTTTTTTTGAGACAGAGTCTCACTTTTGTTGCTCAGGCTAGAGTGAGTGCTGTGGCATCAGCCTAGCTCACAGCAACCTCAAACTCCTGGGCTCAAGCAATCCTCCTGCCTCAGCCTCCCAAGTAGCTGGGACTACAGGCATGCGCCACCATGCCCGGCTAATTTTTTCTATATATATATATATTAGTTGGCCAATTAATTTCTTTCTATTTATAGTAGAGACAGGGTCTTGCTCTTGCTCAAGCTGGTTTCAAACTCCTGACCTTGAGCAATCCGCCCGCCTCAGCCTCCCAGAGTGCTAGGATTACAGGCGTGAGCCACTGCACCCGGCCTCAAATCTTCATTTTCCAAAGATCTCTCGAGCCCCATTATGGAGAACGGAGCAGGATGACAAGAGGTCGAAGGCAGGACACCAGTGAGGAGGCTGGTGAGGAGAGTAAGTAAGGGATCAGGGTGGCTCAGTCCAGCTGAGTGCAGTGGGGTGCAGACACACTTGAGAGATTCGGGACACCTGGACACAGGACTCGGCTGTGGATCACAGGGTGGCGGTGCATGCATGTGAAGGGGTGGACCTAAGAGAGAGTCAGGGAGGAAAGAGTCAAGCATGACTCCCAGGTTTCCGGCTTGGATGGCTGGATCGGGGGATAGAAGCAAGCGCCATTTACTAAGACAGGGAATTTTGGAGCAAGAACTGATTATGTATGGATGGTGTCATCAGAATATTGACACCACTGCCCTAAGAAAACACAAATGTCACAAATTCCTATGTTTGACAGGAAAGGGAGGCAGGAAGACAGTTTGGTTGGCCCTTTAATGGTAACCAGATAATAACTAATGAAAACACAAGTGGGAAATTTTCTGTGGTCTCTGTAGAGCTGACGTCTGAAAGCAAACATGTGAAGTTTTTCTCTCTGGGGCTGCCAAGAATGCTCATTCTTTTTGGTCAAATTGTAACTTTTTTCTATAAGATGGTTGTGGGGCAGTGGCTGGGCACCTTCCAGGTTACCCATTTTCATATATCTTTTGGAATGACAGGTATAGTTTATTATTTAAAGTGCTTGACATAGCTACCAAACAATCCAGGGTGATCCAGTATTGGGCCTCTGTCAATTTAAACTCTGTGACGGCTTACCCCTTTTACCCAACATGATTTAGGGCTGTTTCTGACTCAATCTTCACCCCCAAATATATTTCCTACTGATGTGTTCTCAAGGAATGGAAGGACCTGTTGGCTAAAAATATAAAATAACTGGGAAGATAAATTTTGCTGTCAGAAGAATTATAAAATGTACATTTTTGGTACAAGCTGTTTCCTGTCTGCGATGTTTTTTCTTCCCTTGGTAAACTTCCATTCATCCTTCAAAACCCCAAGTTCAAGTGCTCTTTTATCTCTGACAGTTTCTCTAATACCCAAACACAGAAATGTTTAGTCATCTTGGTACTTAGGCCTTTGTCTATTTTTACCTATTATTACAGCTTTAATCAGTAGAGCAACATGGTTAAGGCCACAGGCTGGGTTTTCACCTTGAATTTACCACTTACTACCTGAAAGGTGACCTCACCAACAACCTATCTAACAGAGGAAAATAAACTATCAAACAGAAAGCAAAGGAAATAAACTCACAGCACATAATTGCCCCTTTAAAGGAAAAACTCACAGGACAACTGCCCTGTGCTGTGATTAAAACACATGTGGCCTAACTTGTTCTCTCTAAGAGTTTCATTTTCATAGCCTTGAAGAGCCCTAAGCAGACAGTAGGGGTGTGGACTTCCACCAGCACCAGAATCCCAGGACTCAGATAAAGTCAGCCTCACAGAGAAAATAAAGAACACCTGCGACAACTTTGCTGCCGCTTCTGTTATCCGTCTGCTGAAGTGGGGGGATCCATTTTTACCCTTTAAAAGCACCAAGCTACTTTCTTCAACTGCCCCAGCACTACCCTCCTACCCTCTACCTTTTCTTCAGTGCCGGGGCACCTCTCCCTCTTTCTCTCTCTCTTTCTTGGTGTGAGAATTCCTTCTCCAACCCGCATCACGAGCTCCCCATGAGGTCCCCATCCTAACACTACCTGACAGACAAACTTTGGGCAAGGTACTTCCTCTCCAAGCCTCAATTCTCTTGTGTAGAAAGTATAAAAGGGCATTATAAAAATTGGTGTAAGAATTAAGTAGCACAACCTAAACGTAGTAAGTGCCAGCTTATTGTTAAGCTGTACCGAATTAACTGTTTATATCTGTCTCCCCTTCTAGACGCTGAGTTCCATGAGAAGAGAGACCATAATTTATTCATTTCTGTAACCCCAGCGTCCACTGTCCATGTGCTGCTCGCATGGCAGGTGCTCAGTGGGTATCTGCTGAGTGACTGGATGAGTAAAAGAATAAAGGAATGAACCCCATTTGGCAATCTCTTTTTATAATAAGATTTATCTACATGTACAGTATCTTGAGGAAGAGACAGGTGAATCAATTTTATTGTTTTTTTTTTAGACTCCAATAAAATAAAAGCATAGGAAATTTGTTTCTCCAGGCAATATTTTTAAGGGTTTTAAAAACTACATGTTACTCCCACACACACCAAATGTCAATATCTGTAATGAGTCTCAGCTAAAAGTCGGCTAAATTATTCTTATCACAATAGGATAATAGCTCCAGAATCATTAAATCAATCAAGTAAATAATATTAATTTAAAGTACTCCATAATTATATATTTACTTGATATATAATTATACAACATTAAGCAAACATATAATTAGAATTTTTTTAAAAGCATGCGCTCTGTCTAAAAGGGGAAAACATGAAAGCATAAACAAAACCAAAAAAAAAAAAAAATTTAAAAAGGAATTCAATCACTGCAAGCTCTCTTTGTAGCTCTCTGGAGTTCACGGCTTCGTGCGATAAGCGCAGCCCTTGGGTGTAGGACACCTCACGATGCTGTCCCCAGTCTCCCTGACACCTGGAGCTGCTGAGCGTCGAGGACACCACATGGATTACAAGGCTGCGTGATGCCACCCACTGGGAAGAGAGGCCAAAACATCACTGGCTGGAAGCCATTCCATTCTCATCTCTCCATCGTGCCCAGCACAAGACAAAAATGGGCAGAAGCATCCATCTGCTAAGCCTAAGAGCTAAAGGGGCTTTAGGGAATCAGACTGAAATGCCACGTCCAGCGTTCGATGAATCTCACACCATTTGGGGAGGACAAGAGTATTTCAGTCAATCATTTATTGTGGTATTTCATTATTATCAACATTAGTCAGAACTACCATTTACTGAATGCTGATTCTAACCAAGACACTATCAAATTTATTACTTACAACAAACCAACAAAAAATGTTTTTTAAAGAGTACTTGTGAGATAGACACTCTTATTGTCATACCCATTTTACACAAGAGAAAACTGAGTCTAAGGACAGGTAAAATGACCTGCCCAGAAAGAACAGCAGCTGAGATGTGAACCTAGGGTTATTTTTAAAAGTTTAGATCAGGCACAGTGACTCATGCCTGTAATTCTAGCACTCTGGGAAGCCAAGGTGGGAGGATCACTTGAGCTCAGGAGTCCCAGGCCAGCCTGAGTAAGAGTGAGAACCTATCTCTACAAAAAATAGAAAAATTAGCCAGGTGTGATGGCACACACCTGTAGTCCCAGCTACTTGGGAGGCTGAGACAGGAGGATCGCTTAAGCCTAGGATTTTGAGATTGCTGTGAGCTAGACTGACACCACGGCACTCTAGCCTGGGCAACAGAGCAAGACTCTGTCTCAAAAAAAAAAAAAGAAAGTTTAAAATTTGTATATAGTCTATGATTTCATCTCAATCTAAAAAATAAAATTTATGTACTCTCCATTAAACTATGTTGTCTGATGACTTACTGTTAACAATATTTCCATCTTATATTTGTTCAGTGGTTACAGCTTCAAGTCATGGCTATATTTTACCAAGGCTAAGCATTCAATTCATGCAAGGCTGCATGACTAAAATGTAGGGATGCCTCGCCAGGGATTGTTTTTCTACACCATATTTCCTATCCCGATTCTGATGCCTGGTGACAGAAGGACAGATGAAATATGAGCTGTAAAGTCACTCCCCTATGGACAATCCCCCCCACCAACCTCAAACCAAAGCAGAAACAAGTAGGAGCTGCGGTGACCTCTTTGGTGAGCTCTGGAAGGAAAAAGGGGGAATAAGTTGGCCTTCAATCATGAGCTCTTTAAGAAACCCAAGCTGATAATACATTTTCTGAAAATCAAGTTGTTCTCAAAGGGAAAGAAACCCTACAAGATTATGTGGTTTAGAAATAGTCAACAGGGAGGAAGAGTGTAAAAGAAACAGCTAGTCTACTGGTTTCTATGCTAACTAACAGGGCTCCTTCATCCTGTTGTCCTTCCTAGGTGGGCGGAGGGAGGAAGAGAGCCAGAATGACATTGGAATAGCATTAATCGTAACTTAAGAACAGGGCCAGTTTAGATTCAGTGTCCACTCACCCAGTTTTCCATTTGCTGCCAACAGCAACACCAAGAAATGTATAAAGTAGAAGTTGCTAATATTCTGGAGTATGGCTATAAACCTTCTGTGCAGAAACGGAACCCATGTATACCCACATAGATACACACACACACACACACACACACACACACACACACACACACACACACACAGAGGAGATGAGTACAGTGTGTATGTATGTTGAGGATAATGAAAAAGGTTTGAGTATAGCTAGTGGTGATGGTTACACAACACTGAATATAATTAATGCCACTGAATTGTACACTTTCAAATGGTTGAAAGGATGTTTATGTTATGTATATTTTACCATAATAAATTTTTAAAAGGAGTGGAAGCAGATGGCTAGAGTCTCCAAAGCCCACCAATGGATCTAAATACAGAGTGGAGTCATGGGCCTTTTAAACTCAGATTAAGAACATCTGATTTAGATGATGCACCTCATTGGTCTCCAGGACTTCATTGTTAGCATCAGTACTTTTATTTCCTTAACGTCTGTGAAGAGTCAAAAAACTGAGGTGCATTGCCTCCTTTGCAGTCCTCACTAAGGCATCCCAGCACCTCACTTTGAATGCAGGGCTGGCTGCCATGCATTGGCTTGAGTTGGATCCTCTGCTAAACTAAGACTAAACAGAGAGTCCTATTTTAACATCCCGTCACATATGCAAATACTGAGGAAATTGCTATGTGATTATTTCGTATGATTCTCGTCAGCCAGTGTGGCTTCTAAGCATAAAGCTAATCAAAATACAGAATTACAACCCTAGGCAAAATAAAACCTTCCTGGACATAGCCTGTCTCTGCTACCACCTCTACCTGCATCCCCAAATATACCAACAATCATATAAAGCATAAAGTGACTGAGTCCAGGTTTCAAGGCACAGAAATATAGGATGCAGACAGAGCCAGACTCTCATGAGTCTATAAATAAAACCAGTTCCCATGTTTGGTCTTTACCAACACTGTTATTTATGGAAGACTCTGCCATCTACATTCATTAAAATAAGGTTTAATTGCAGACTTAGCATTCCACTGAACTGGAAGGAGGCAGAAATGGCTCTAGTCCTCATGGACTGGAAGAGGAAAATGAAGAAAACATTTCTAAATCATGTAAACAATGATATGCAAATCAATTTACGGTGTTAGTCCCAGGGAGAGAAAGGCCTAGGGGTTTGAAAAGAGACGAAGCCAAATCAAAAACAGAGCTGACACGAAAATACTAAGGCTTTGGGACTGTCTTCCTGAGATGCAATTGAGGGTTGAGGGAGACAGGTCAGAGGAGCCAGTCCCATTCTGCCAAATTCTGGTACTGTCTGGGAAGGACTAAAGATGTAGTGTGATCCTGTGTTTCAGGGGAGAGACTTGGAAAAGCCCCATGGCAGGTGGAAATCCTCCCCTTGGCGAAGTCGGGCTAACAGAGAAGGGGTGGATGGTGTGCGGCATGGGTGCCTTTCTAGAGAGAAGGAGGTGCTCATGCAAGGAGACAGCGAGTGGTGGCGGAGGGTGGGCTGGGGGGTGTGCACATGCATCCCTGCTTGGAGCCTGGGGTCTCTGGGCAATGAAGAACAGCAATAGATGAAGCTAGAGAAGGAGGTAGAAGCCAGATTAGGAAGAGCCTCACAAGACACATTCTACAATTTGCATAGAGAAGAAATGGCCTCACTCCTTTCATTTCTACAAGACTTACTGGGGCTTTAAGGTCCAGCTCTCACAGCTGTCTCCCTTGACTAATCTCCCTCAGAAGCTATTGTAAATATTATTCGTATTTGCCTCTAGAATGTCCAGGGTATTCTCTCCACCTAGGCTTAAGTGTGTTGAGAACATGAACCAAATATTTATTTTATCTCTACAGTATTCAACAATTCTCGGTACATTCATTCTTTTAAGAAACACTGATTAGCCATGTTGGGCACTGTTCACAGTATCAAATAAAATAAACATGTCTCTGCTCCTCCAGGGCAAGTAAGAGCAGCCCAGGGTAAATGTTCAATATGTAATTCCTGATTCCTTTGGTAAAGTGTTAGGTCCAATCACAAAATCTTTAGTTACACTGATAGATGCCTTTCTGTAAAGATATCTTAATAGAAATTGCCTTTTATAAAGACTACACAAAGAGACATCTTCATATACATGAATGCTTCTATTAATGACATTACGTCTTTATTTACTTTCAGAGGGAAAATGTTTTAGACTGTCACAGATCTTTCAAGATCAAATAAAATTTCTATGAAGTATCGTAGAGGATGTTTCACAGTCCTTCAATTACGCAAATGATGGCACTGACTTAGTCTGTAAGAGAAATCAACTCAAAAGATTTGCATTGAGTTAGAAATAGAATACCTACCCATATTTTTGTTTGATGTTAATTCACTTGCTCTGAATCAGGAATGGAATAAATGGAATAAAAGTTGGAAGGTTAGTTTATTACGGTGGATTTTAAAGAGCTGCATTTATAATCTCCATTATAGAGTGGCAATTTAGATCAAACCAGTTCAGAATGGTTTTGCCAGTGCTTCTCAAAGAACGCTGCCCACAGCAACATCAGGAGCAGCTCCTAGGAAGTTGTTAGAAATGTGGAGTCTCACTCCTCCCCATCCTACTGAATCAAAAGTCTGTGTTTAATAAGCCCTGCAAGTGATTCTGATGCACACTAAAATTTGAGACTGTTCTTAGAACAGTCTAAAAACCCAGTCCTTAACAAAACTCTCCCAAATCTTATTTAATGTTAGGGCAGGACGGGGTCTTAGAAAGCATATGGACCAACCTTCTTGTGCGTTTTACAGATCTGGAAACTGAGGCCCAGAGATTATCAATAGTAACTGGGATTTGGAGCAAAATGCATTCCAGCACCAAAGCTGAGATCCTAGAAACATAAACTGTCCGCCAGCTATCATTTTGCACATTAGAAAGCAAGTTTCACGTTTAAAGGTCCATGTATTGAGAGCCTTTCTATTTATTAATAGATCAGATGAAGTTGCAGACACAATCGTATCTACAGGCTAAGTTACAAATATTTGAAGATGCTCTCAAGACAGAAAAGGCCTGGAAAATGGAGAATTCAGTAGCCAGGAATATCAGGTTTGGCATCAGATTCAAACCTAAGCCAGCTCAAATAGTTTCTTAACCAGCTTGAAACTAGGAATATTTCTTTGCCTAGTTCAAAAAGTTCCTTAAAAGAATCATGCAGAGTTTCCAAGTAACACTGTCAGCTCAGGGTAACAGTTAAGAACACAAGCCTTAAGCCCCTCGGGCAAGTTACCTTACCTCTTTGTGCCTCAGTTTCTCCATCTACCTAAGAGGACTGTTGAGATAATTAAATGATACAGTACATGTAAAGTTTTCATCACAGTGTAAATGCTCTATGAATACTGACTGCAGCTCTCACTATTAATATTAGGAACAGTATTACTGTTTATGTGCTATCCTTCACTTATGAAAGAGGCACCTTTACTGAATGTCTGAAATATATTTCCGTTAATACTGCTGTTTCTGTACTGGTCTAGCCACCACTGCCTCATCTTGATGCCCAAGTAGCAATATGAAAAGGTCAAAGGCCTTGGTATTACAGTATAAGGTTAACCGACTACCATATGTAGCATTTTTATATTCACTTGAGCCTCACGAATCATGTGTCAAGGAGCAACCACCAACAGATCTAAGACCCCAACTTAGATGGTATTTCACTAACGAACACATTTTCCTGTAAATGTCCTCACCCAAGGACAATCTTCAGAATATCTCATAACTGCCTAATAACTATTTTGTGGATAGAAATGTTGAGAGTGTTACAGCTTTTCAGCTTCATATGCCTAAAGGAAAGGCTCTGAGGATCTCTTGTGGGTGAAAAAAACACCCTGTTATGTCTTCAAAAGTGCAATTCCAGGGCTAAAATCCTTACCCGGCTGTGAAACTTGGCAGTTCGATAAGACTTAGGTGACAGATTGTACACCGTGTAGTGGTCAAGATGTCTGGAATCCAAAAAGCTCCGAATGTCATCAACCTGATTCCTGAATCCTATGTCAACATTGTCCAAAGGAAAGGACATCACTAGAAGTCACACAGAAAGAAAACGCGTTAAACAAGTCTGCTGTTGCAATGGGCAGCAACTGAAAGTTGAGCCAAAGAGGAGTTAATAAAAATGAGAAACTTACCAATAATTCTGGAGGTAACATAAGTGAAGTCTAAATCTCCCTTTGTGTAGCTAAAGGTGAGAAAAGAAAGGGCATTCATGAAAATGATCCAAATATGCCAAGATGGCTCTCTTTAAATCACCAGTACTCATGAATTGGGACACTTCTGTCTAGTGGGCATATTTTGACTTCCCTCTAACCCTTCTCTCTAAAAAGGACACATCATCAAGAGGAGGCAGCCTACCACTCCAACTGGTGCATCCCAATGCCATTGTAGATGCCACTTCATGAAAAGAATCAATCTCAGAATGGAAAACCTTGCTTATTTTTAACACTGATTGTTCCAGCCTTTTTGCCTGCACAGAACTATATCCCATAATTGTAAGCAGCTATGAGGGTAGGGAAGAAGTGATTGAGAAAGAATAAATGATACCCTTTTTCTGCCTACCAGGCCCTGGTTGGAAATTAAAGATAATATATCAGACTTATCATTTGAATTTATGATCTGATACAGCATATTGTAAATTAAAGTGACCCTAGAATTTTCTAATATCTAAGAATAAAAAATAATTCATATGGCCTGCTTGCAAGAAGTTTTAGATGGTGAAAGAGTAGAAAACTTCTTCCACTAAATGAATTTTAAAGGGCTAGTAGGATATGAAAACAATGTTCTGTTTTGATTACAGCCCACAGGTATTGCTTATTCAGACTGCATGTGCATTATTAGCTCTTCAAACCAACCAAAGACACTAATCCTATCAGGGTAAAACACTAAAACTCAGAGAGGTTAATTAACTTGCCTTAGGCCACATGGTTAACAAGGGCAGATACTGCATTAGAACCCAGGATGTTTGATTCTAAAACCAGGGGTGGCAAACACTATACTCTAATGTAACAATGAGCTGAGTTGTCCTGACCTGTGCTTGAATTTTCTAAAGGACTCAACTTGATGGCTTCAATGACATTCCTCAGCTGATGAGATCCTATGCAATTATATCACAAAATGGACACTCTTTGTGCCAGATAAGCATTTGGCAGGTAACCAGATCCTTTGAGGGCACCGGGATCCATTGACTTAACCAGGAAGAATGTGCATACCTGGTAACCGATTGTATAACTCTAGAAGATGTGTCTTTGAGGGTGTCTTTCAAGTTGTCCTTTAAGTTACTAAAGAGCCTCCCTGCACCTCCTTTTACCATGTCAAAGAGACCTCCCCCATAGCTGGGCTCCATGTCTGGAGACGAGGCACCTGCCAAGGAAAAAGAGAAAAGGAGGTGATAGCACAGAATACACTGAAAACCAATCTCTCTTCAGTCCTGAAACATACACAGACGGTCTCTCTAGGCGTCTGGGACAGATGTTCCTCGAAGTTATGTCCTGCTTTCTGAATGCAATGACTCTGAGTTGCAGCAATGCTGCTGGTCCTCAGAGTACCAGGAACAGAAGTCTCCAGAGCTGCACGGCCCAATATTGCAGCCACTAGCCACATGTAGCAACTGAGCACTTGGAATATGGCTGGTCCAAATTGAAATGTGCTGTGTGAGTATAAAACGCAACACACTTCAGACTTGGTGCAAAAAAAAACCAAAAAAAAGAATGTAAAATGCCTCAGTATTTTTATATTGATTACATGTTGAAATTATAATATTTTAGATTTACTGAATTATATAAAATATACTACCACTAAAATTAACTTCACCTGTTCTTTTTTAACTTTTTTAATGTGGATCCTAGAAAATTTTAATTACACATGTGGCCTGCATTACACTGCTTTCAAACAATGCTGGTGCATAGAGTGAGGCCAGGGCCCTCCTTTGCCCTTTGATGGAGCTGATGGTGTTAGAAGCCCCATTCCATGGCTGTGCCTCTAAGCAATAGTTCATTTTCATCAAGAAAAACCCCTTCTGAAGGAACTTCTTAACAGATTTTAGGTCTTAGGATGCATGGTGGTCACTAGAGTTATTTGCTAAATATGCCAGGTTCTCTTCCTAACAACTCCATAAAATTGTGCTTTCTGGTCCCTGATGCTTAGCTCAAGTCCAGGGTTGTTCAGTCTCGGCACCGCTGACATTTGAGGCCAAATACTTCTTTGTTTGTGTGTGTGTGTGTGTGTGTGTGTGTGTGTGTGTGTGTGTGTGTGTTGAGGGGGGGCTGTCTTATGCATTGCAGGGTGTTTGGGAGCAGCCCTGGCTTCTATTCACTAGAAGCCAGTAGCACCTGCCCCCACCCCGACAACCCTGAGTTGTGACAACCAAAAATATCTCCAGACATCGGCAAATATTCCCTGGGGGGAAAAAATTACCCCTGGTTGGAAACCATTGCTTTAGCCGATGACACATGAGTAGATGTGTTGTGTATCACTTCCAGATACAACACTAAAAACTGTTAGTGTGAGATTCTCCATCGTTCTCTCTCCCTCTCGTTCTCTCCTTCTCGCTTTCTCTTTGCCATAGCAACCAGGAAGGTTTGAGACTGTTGCTGCTCTGTCCAAGACTCCTGCGCCCCAGAGTAAGGAGCAATGTGGCAGAGCTCCCGGCTGGCCTTTGATGACTATTTGGCATGAGAAAGAAACACCGCTTTGTCCTTAGAAGCCACCAATATTTTGAGAATGTTCATTATTACAGCACAAACCAGCCCGTAAAGACTGACACAGGCCTGAGGTGATGGATACCCCAATTACCCTGATTTGATTAATTCACATTGTATGCTTGTATCAAAACATCACATGTTCCCTAATAAAGATATACAACTATTATGTACCCATAACAATTTTTAAAAATAAAATAAAATATTAGGAATCCAGGCAAAAAAAAAAACACCAAAAGACTGATGCAGGAATCCATGCAGAGGAGGAGGCTAATGTAAAAAGTGGCCAGCGAGGGCTCTAAAGCCTAGCAGTCAAGAGCATGAGTCATTCTCACCTGGGTTCCTGCCCAGCCTTCCTACTCCTAGCTATGTGATCTTGAGAAGTCAGTCTTTCTAAGCCTCTTTCTTCCCATCTATAAAATTGGGATAAAAATAGTGCCTACTTCATAGGGAAAGATTAAATAAGTGCATATAAAGCTGTTAGCACAGTATCTAATAAAATGTAGGGGTCAACAGATTGTAGCTATTACTCTATTATGCCACACCCTGAAATTCCTATATTGATGATATTTTTAATCTTTGTTCATTTTTCAAGTATATGATGACAAAGGGCAAGAATGACATCTATTCTTTTAAAAAAAAATAGCAATATATAATATTTTAAATGAATAAAGAATAATAAAAATACTCATGTATTAGGACATATAATTGCTAACACATACATAGCACTTACTATCTGCTAGGTATTATTCTAAGCATTTTACCTATATAATTTATTTAATTCTCACAGCATCCCTATGAAGTAGAAAATATTATTATTCCCATTTTACAGATCAGAGAACTGAGGCACACAGATTAAGAAACTTGTCTAAGAGCATACAAGCTATTAATAAACAAATAAATGGCAAAGTTGGGATCGAGTCCAGGCAACTCTTCCAATCACAACCTTCTTTCTTCTCCTAATACCATCCTTAATTTTATATTTACCATTCCAATTAATTCCTTTAAACTTATATTCATATGTTTGCAACCATAACAAATATATTAATATTATTTTCCATGTTTTTAAGCTGCACATAAATGGTTTTCTGTTTGCATTCTTCTGCAACTTTATTTTTTTTCATTCACCATTGTTTAAAATTCTTCTAGGCTGGTACCACATGTAGCTTTGCTCACTTAATGTATGTATTGATTATCCCATTGATGGACACTTTTTTGTTTGTTTGTTATAACAAACAACACAGGAACACATACCTCTGATTACACATGGGAGACTACAGGTTGTTTGTAGGAATGGAATTTGCTAGTAGGTAGGGTGTACACATCTTCAAATTTCTAGATATTGACAAATCATTTTCAAAAGTAGCCATATCAGTTTAAACTCCTACAAGTAATACATATGAGCTCCCTTGCTCTATAGTCTCCTTAACACTTGGTATTATCAAACTTTACATTTTTTACCAATTTGGCATAAATCAACATAAATCATAAATCATTAAAAACCATAAATCAACATCTCATTTTGGTCTTATTTTGTGATTTCCCTGATGACTGAGGAGGTGAGGTATCTTTTACTGTGTTTTTTGGCCAGGCAGCCATTCTTTAAATCATATTTCATGTATCTACCATTTAGATGCTCACAGATATACCTATTAAATGCAACTTGACTGTCATATTCTGCCACTGTGATCACAAGAGCTACAGATGCCCCTTATGGCAGACGTTAGTAAGAGGTAGAGCTCACCTATGCAACAAGAACTATGTTTGGACCTCTGTGATGGCCAGTTTCATATAGTTCTAGTGTTTATTATTCCCACTTTACGGATGAAGAAATGGAGGCTCAAAGAGGGAAAGTAACCAAAGATCTCAGCTAACGAGTAGAAGAGCCAGCAATTCAAACCCAGATCTGTGTGATTGATTCCAAAGCCTATGCTCATCCACCATTCCACACTATTCTACAGCTCCACACAGCTCAGGGTTCCAACAGCTGTAAGCAAGGCGGTCCTTGCCTGCCTTCTACACAACTGCCTTTCTCCTATTCCCTGCCCTTCTCCACCTCCCACCTGCATGCCTTTCATCTGGCTGCTCTCAGCAGCAGATGTCCCTGCAGTAAGCAGCCTCGTAAATCACTGCATCTGTCACATCGGCCAAACCAATCTCATTATGTGGGCAGCCAGAGCCTCTGTCGCCCTTACTGCTTCACGGCCCTGAATAAAACACCAGCAATGGGACTGGTGGGCAGCTCCACAGACATGGGTTAGTGCTACAAATCTGAGAATGTTCTCTTGTGTTCTGCTTCCCTACGAGACAGGGCACATTATTTCCTTTTAAACACATCCGCATGTCAAAATCTGTATTGAGACTTCATTTTAAATATGGCGAGGGAGGGGCAGCATAAAATGTCTGCAATTCTCCCCTTTTTGTCCCAAGTTAGCCCTTCAGACTGTAAACCTTCTTCTTGTATTTAACACTGTTTTATTGACACCAAATTGATTACCTAGAAGTCTTTTCAAATCTCAATTTCATGTTAGAACAGAACTCCAAGGCACCAACCTATTAAAAGATATAAATATCCTTGACTATCTCAAAATCAGACTCTCACCATCCCTCAGGCTGCATGCTCTGCTCATTAGAGCCTTGGAATGCTGCAGAAACCAGAACAACTTGCCAGAGTCCATTTGTAACCTTCATACACCCAAATTGTATTTTGAATTAGCCAGGACGCACAAAAAAAAGAAGAGGGAGGTTATCTGATGTTGCAGGTACTTCACAGTAGATATTCTGGGTTTCCCTGATGAGCTACATAAGTGCCAAGAGCGCAGATTCTGCAAAGGATATTTTAGCCTCAGCTAGCTAAAAGAAAGGGCAGAGAGGTTTCAAAAAATGACACATCAAATAGGGAAATGCTGCAGTCAGAAAGTGACATGCAGAAGAAAAACAACAACCACAGTAGATCAGGTTAACAAACTACGGTCCATGAACCAAATACTGTGTACTGCCTGTTTTTGTACAGTCTGGGGAAAAACAATGACTTTTACATTTTTAAGTGATTGAAAAAAAGTCAAAAGAAGAATAATGTTTCATAACTTGTGAAAACTGTATAAACGTCGGGTTTTAATGTCTAGAAGTGAAGTTTTATTAGAATACAGCTAACTTATTTGTTTTCATACTGTCTATGCCTGCTCTGCTATGACAGCCAAGTGTAGTTCCGACAGAGACCTTAGAGTTCACAAAGTCTAAAGTATTTGCAAAAAAAAGTTTCCAACCCCTGCACCAGACAGTTGACAACACTTGCATTCCCAAGAATGCAGAGGCTGCCCCCTCCAACATCTTTCTAAATGCTTTGGCTAAAATGGCATCTGGGGGAAGAACACTACCTGGGCTTAGTAAAGGGATTTGAGAGTCCAAGAGGGTGGGGACTGGGGAGGTCAGAGTTGAGAGAGGATGAGTTGCCATCCAAAGAGAAAGGTTCGGGTCTCTGCCTCCAAGACTCCAAACTTACTTGAAGAGTGACACAAAATTTATTTCTCATTTTCTCATGGGAGAGAATTTCTGCCTTCCACTGGTCTGCTAGTTAGCTATTTGATCATTTATTTGTATCAAGCTTCATTCTCAAAGAGATATGAGCTGATTCAATAGTTATTTGGAAAGTATATAAAAAGG